CCCGGCTAAACATCAGACCAGTCACATGGTATCCTGCAAAATTTCCTTTACCTGTGATGGGAAATGCCATTTATTTAGCTTTCCCCTTGACTCTGAATCCTTTCCCCATGCACACCCGGACTTAATCATCCCCTGAGGAGCCCTAGAGGGGAAAACTGCACTGATTGGGTAACTCTTTATCTGCATTACTATCACACGTTATCTGACACCTTATGTCTGCTGATGAGTTTTTAAAAAAATTCACTACATCTTGAACAGGGATCTTTGTAGCAAGCGTGTTTACTGCTCAGGCCTAAGAGCCTTTGAAAGAGTTCGTTTATTTGCTCCTTTCTTGTAACAGGGCTGCTAATTTTGGACATTTCATCTGCGGTGAAATTGCACTCATGTTTCAAGGGGAAATCATTCACTGTGCAGGAGTTTACGGGTATTTCAAACCTATTTTCCTGGTGCTGTGACTAACACTCCAAAAAGGGTAACACCCATGTTTCTTTATTTTCTTTGTTCCTTTTTTTTAACTTAATGACCCTTTCCTTGCTCCCTTGCAGCATTCAGCACTGTAGGGCCACACTGGCCATGTCTCCAACAGTGAGTTGCATTGATCTGGAAAACGTGCTTCAAATAGCACACTGGTAAAACCCAATTTTGCCCTTAGTGCAGACAAAGACAGTCCTGTTTAGAGTCCTGTTAGCTGATGCTGGTGAACGCCAGGAGCTCAGCTAACATTTGTTTAAATACAGCTTGTTCCCATCTAGACCAGGTGCTCAGTCCTGCTTACCAATGTTAAGACATTTTCTATCATGGTGCATTTCTCAGACATGGCCTATGACATGTTATCATATCTGACCTGGTTATGAACAGTCATTTTACCTGACATGCTGCTGAACATGATTTAGCCATCTGAATAACCTGGGGGTGATGGGGGGGGGGGTGGAAGCAGCGGGGGCCAGGGAGAATGGGGGATTGGGAGACCAGGGGGAGGCAGCAGGGGCCAGGGGCAATGGGTGGGGGACCAGGGGATGCAGTGAGGGCCAGGATGCCAATATACAAGTTTGCCCAGGGTGCCATTTTCCCTAAGGCCAGCTGTGGCAGGGGTGCCATGGTCAGGGAGGCGCCGTGGTCAAGAGGCTGTTGCTGGCAGGTCCCTTGGCAGTCACCTGGAAGTTGCCGGTGGCTGTGGTAGTGAGTGGGGGCCCTGCCATTGTGCCCCCCACTATCAGCAGTTATCACTTGCCTATGGCTTTATCTTTATTTTTCTTGCAACCAATTCTGACTTGTTTGCCTCATTACTTGTACTCACTTAAAGTCAATCTCACTGTCGTGAATACACTTGTTTTATTGCTTTATCTAATCCAGTGTGTTTGAACTGAACTGTCTGGGAGACTCCATTTGGGGTAACAGGATATATGCATATCATGTCTATTAATTAAATGATGGACTGTATACAAGCTTGTATGTGCAGAAGAGGGCTGGGTGGTGCAGGACATCCATTTCTGGGGGAAATCTAAGACTGGGGTGTGTTGGGGTCATCGTGCAGGCTGGTTGCAGCACCCACAGACATAGCTGGGAGTGACTTAAACCTGGATGCTGCGAGCAGTCCAGGACTGGAGGCTGCAGCAGCAAATCTGTGTAAAGGGCCCCCCAAGTTAGGGGGCAGGGGACACAGCTACTCACTGGTCTGCATTGTACCCTGCTATGTCCCAATGGCACCGGGGGAAGACTTTGGAGAGGAGAAAGGAGCGATGGGGGAGGGGGAGCCCTAGAGGAGAGTCCCCCAAGCTCCTTGACACAGCAGTCAGCACCCATGGTTCTGGATCAGCTTACCCAGCCCTGGTAGCCACTCCCTTCAGCCCCGCTGAAAGCAGCTCGGGGCTGGCTCGGGAGAGAAACTCCCCTTTACCTCAGGGAAGGGCTGCCTGCCCCAGCCATCCCAGCCAATGAGTTCAGAAATTCTCATCTCATGTTTTGTGGTTAGAGGCCCACAAGCTGGGTGCTCGGCATGACCTCAGGGCAGGAAGTTACAGGCTTCAGGCGCTGTGGAGGCCCCGGAGCAGAGAGGAACCATTCTGCCACGTGACCCCGTGCTTCCACAAGCACAAAGACAAACCCGGCCTCTCCCCCCCGTCAACAGGCAGGGCCTGGCACTTCGCAGCACCCTGTTCAGCGCAGCCAGGCGGATGTGGCTTGGCTTACCGTGCCATGGCTGCACCGGGACGTGCTGAGGGAAGGGTTGTGCAAATGGATTTTATTTTCTGTTTTCACAGCTCATGAGTGGCTTCCCCAGCCACAGGGCCCTCCCACGGGCCGCAGCCTGGGGCGGCTCGCTGGCTGCACCCAGGGGTGGCAGCACCTGGGGGGGGGGGCTGCTCCAAGAGCATTTGCAGAAGTGCTCCGGGGTGCGCCAGGTGCCGGCAGCATGGCTAGGCCAGGAGGGGCAGGGGGAAGTGGGCCAGCAGCAGGCCTTCGCTGGCTGCTCTGGTTCACTCTTGTTTTACACGACACCTTCAGGGAAGGAAGAAGTAGAAGCCCAGACTGCAGCTCGTGAGCCACCTGTGTCTCTCTTACAGTTAAAGTGCAGGCTCCCAGGCCACTGCATTCTCTGCTTACCAGACTGCGGGAGGGTGCGAGGGGCCCCCCTCGGGGCTTCTGCCTGCAACTCCCGGGTGTTAGCACCACGCAGAGAGGCAGCTGCAAATGCAGCGGGTGTCCCTTCAGCTCCCAGCTCTTTGCTGCTGCCTCTTCCCATGGCTGCAGCTCCCAGCTGGTTGACACCGGCAGCTGCTGTGCCGCGAGGGAGGAACCCCAGGCACCGCTACAGACTAGGGACCGAATGGCTCGGCAGCAGTTCTGCAGAGAAGGACCTAGGGGTGACAGTGGACAAGAAGCTGGATATGAGTCAGCAGTGTGCCCTTGTTGCCAAGAAGGCCAATGGCATTTTGGGATGTATACGGAGGGGCATTGCCAGCAGATCGAGGGATGTGATCGTTCCCCTCTATTCGACATTGGTGAGGCCTCATCTGGAGTACTGTGTCCAGTTTTGGGCCCCACACTACAAGAAGGATGTGGATAAATTGGAGAGAGTCCAGCGAAGGGCAACAAAAATGATTAGGGGTCTGGAACACATGACTTATGAGGAGAGGCTGAGAGAACAGGGATTGTTTCGTCTGCGGAAGAGAAGAATGAGGGGGGATTTGATAGCTGCTTTCAACTACCTGAAAGGGGGTTCCAAAGAGGATGGCTCTAGACTGTTCTCAGTGGTAGCAGATGACAGAACGAGGAGTAATGGTCTCAGGTTGCAGTAGGGGAGGTTTAGGTTGAATATTAGGAAAAACTTTTTCACTAAGAGCGTGGTGAAGCACTGGAATGGGTTACCTAGGGAGGTGGTGGAATCTCCTTCCTTTGAGGTTTTTAAGGTCAGGCTTGACAGAGCTCTGGCTGGGATGATTTAGTTGGGGATTGGTCCTGCTTTGAGCAGGGGGTTGGACTAGATGACCTCCTGAGGTCCCTTCCAACCCTGATATTCTATGATTCTATGAGGGGGCCCTGTGGCAGATGTCTGAGCAGGGTCAGCAAACCCTGGCAAAAACATGACCCCACTTGCCATCCCTAGCATTGCATCTGGCTTCTTCCCAGCAGGGAGGGGATCTTGGGGCTTCAGCCCAACGGGGCGTGACTACCAGGGCTTGGGGCTTCACCGGGAGCAGGGCTGAAGTTTGGCCACCCTGGCCTATGGGGTAGGTGCTGGGAAGGGCCAGAGGAGGTGGAGGGCTGAGAGGGAGTGGGGTCTGGGATGCCTGGGAAAGGGGAAGGGGTTGGGAGGGGGGCCAAAAGAGAGGACACATACAGTGCTGAGGTTGCAGGGTCCCACCTAAATCTGCTGGGTCTCCACCTCCTGTTGCCAGCTGGGGAAAGGAGGCTGCAGCGTGGGAGGCTGGGAGATACCCTACAGGCTCTGAGTCTGAGGGGACCTTCCGTGACCGCACCGGGGAACCAGGAAACGGGCATCGGCGGCTCTGAGTCCCAGTGGGCACTCCACCAGTGCCAAACCCCAGATGTGAACCCCCATGGGAGCCCTGCTTCCACCAACGCCTCACGTGGCACCCCAATGGCTGACAGCCACGGCCAGGGCTCTGCCCCTCCTCTACCTGACGTCCCCCTCCTGCAGCATTCACTTACAGAGCAGCAGCAGCTCTCAAACTCCAGTCCTGCCCTTCCCTCTGGTCGGGGACTTCGCCGTGCATCCAGGTGCTGGGGAGGTGTCCTGTCGCATTCAGCCACAGGTGCCTCTGTGAGGCTCACCGTGTAGCTTGTGAAGTCTGGCCCTTAGGGCTGGATTTGGATGTGTCACACCCCTGTGTGAGGCCAGGTCAGCTTTGGCTCCCATGCAGAGCAAGAAGGACCTGGGCTGTAGTCCATAGGATGACAAACCATCTCAACATCTTTCCAGCCCTTCCCCTTCCCCCTCTCTCTGTGCTTCCAAGATCCTTGCTGACTTACCCCTGCTGCATCCTTCCTCAGGGCTGTGTCTAAACCACAGCCAGGGATTCCAGAAGCACCTATGGGAGTTAGGAGCACAAGTCCCACTGACTTTCGGTGGGGCGGCTGTGCTCCTAACTCCCTCTGACCCTGCTTTTGGAAACCCCACCCACAATCTGGCCCTTCGTGATTCCTGTTTAACTGTTCCACGGAAGTTACTCTGCTGTCTGGCTGAGAAAGGGGTTGATGAAGGACTCGTTCACAGTTGGGTCTCCGTGAGATTGTCAGACCCATTTACGCTCTGCTCCCAGAGATCTAACCTGGGCTTGGCTCGTTCTGTTCTCTGCAAGTCAGCCTCCCCCAGTCAGCCTCCAGAATCTCTGTGGGTGCCCATGTCAGTGGGCGCCGATATCATTGCAGCGGTGGCCTGGCTCAGTTGCACACATGATCCCAAGGACTTCCTCCAGGCAGCTCTCCTGGCGGGCTCTGAGCCCTGACATGTCATTGTGGTGCTTTTCGTCTTGCAGGCGATGACGCGTTATTGCTGCCTCCTGATGGCTGCGGCTGGGCTGCTGCTGGCGACAACAGGTGAGCTAGTACTTGTCTCCGCTGCTTTACCCGGCAGGCAAAGTAGCCCCTGAAGCATGTTACACAGTTAGTAACACAAAGGCAGAGGAAAAAGAACCCCCAAGACATAACTTCCCAGGGAAGCATTTTGTTACCGTGATGGTAGGGTTAGCACTTGGCATCCTACACGTTGTTGCGTGCCCTTACTCAGCGGATGTGTCCTGGCACCGGGAGCTCAGCGCCTGCCAGTGAAGAGCAAACCAATTCACAAAGACCTCTCTCTGTCTCTCTGTTTGGAGGTACCTCATGGGTTCTGGTGATATCCATGTGATGAATTGCAGAGACGTGCCTTAATTACCTTTAGCATACACCTTTGCCAGTCTCCTTCTGCTGAGACTATGCGTAACATTGCAAACCCCTGAGAGGGTCCCAAGTAGCTGCCATGTAAAAAGAATGAATACCCTGCCACAGAAACTGTTCCTCCTCCACCCCATGTGCTCCCTAATGATCTCTGCACAAGGCTCGAGATGGACAATACTCACCACTGAACCAGTGACTCATTCACACGTCAATATCTCATGAACCTTCAGGGCTACAATCTGTAGGCTCTTGTTTCTAGCCCTGGCAGATGACAAGATCTCAAACCTTAGAGCTGTGGCTCCAGGATTAGAAAAGAGCTATTTTAGATCATTTTCAGAGGTTTCCAAAACATAATCATTATAATTTTTCTCTTCTTCTGAGGCCTGTGCAGTTGGACTCCCGGTAACTACATGAGGCTGGACTTATGGAGAAGGGAAATAGTGCCAATTAAAAAAACTCTAGTAAAATTTAAGTATCAAAAGCTTCCTTTTGAGCATCTTGCATAAACAGAATTTGTGACTGTGTGACGTGGAACTAAGGCTGAACTGGCTCTTGTTCAAGATGATCTGTCAACTCAGTGGTGGCTTTGCCACTCATGAGTCTTGTGCCCATCCAGTATGCATGGATGTGAAATGGGATAGAATATTCAAAATATTATAATGCCATTATACAAATCAATGAAATGGCCTCCCCTGGAACAGTGTGTTCAGTTCTGGGAATACCATCTCAGAAATGGGATAGCAGAATTAGAGAAGATTCAGAGACAGGTTTTGAGAATGATTAGAGCACCGGTTCTCAAACTGTGGGTCGGGACCAGGGCTGGCTTAGACTTGCTGGGGCCAGGGCTGAAGCCCCCACCCCACTGCCTGGGTGGTGAGGCTCAGGTTACAAGCCTGCCACCTGGAGCCTTAGCCCTCTGTCCAGGGCGGTGGGGCTCAGGCTTTGGCTTTGCCCAACCTAGGGCAGTGGGGCTTGGGCCGGCTCAGGCTTCGGTCTCCCCTCCTGGAGTCATGTAGTAATTTTTGTAGTCAGAAGGGGGTTGCGGTGCAATGAAGTTTGACAACCCCTGGATTGAGTCATAGAAAGGCATCCAGGTGAAAAGAGATTGAAAAGGCTAAGCTTGTTCAGTTTAGAGAGGAGATTAGTAAGAAGCCCCATTAATAGAGGCTCAATTTAAATGTACACCCCAAATTAAAAAACATAGTAAGAGAACCAAAAAAGAGCCATCATGGCTAAACAACAAAGTAGAAGAAGCAGTGAGAGGCAAAAAGGCATCCTTTAAATAGTGGAAGTTAAAGCCTAATGAGGAAAATAGAAAGGAGCAGAAACTCTGGCAAATGAAGTATAAAAAAATAATTAGGAAGCCAAAAAAGAATGTGAAAACCAGCTAGCCAAAGACTCAAAAAGTAATAGCAAAAAATATTTTTAAGTACATGAGAAGTAGGAAGCCTGCTAAACAACCACAATGGGGCCATTGGACGATCGAGATGCTAAAGGAGCACTCAAGGACGATAAGGCCATTGAGGAGAAACTAAATGAATTCTTTGCATCGGTCTTCACGGCTGAGGATGTGAGGGAGATTCCCAAACCTGAGCCATTCTTTTTAGATGACAAATCTGAGGAACTGTCCCAGATTGAGGTGTCATTAGAGGAGGTTTTGGACCAAATTGATAAATTAAACAGCAATAAGTCAACAGGACCAGATGGTATTCACCCAAGAGTTCTGAAGGAACTCAAATGTGAAATTGCAGAACTACTAATTGTAGTCTGTAATCTATTATTTAAATCAGCTACTGTACCAAATGACTGGAGGATAGCTAATGTGATGCTAATTTTTAAAAAGGGCTCCAGAGGTGACCCCGGCAATTACAGGCCAGTAAGCCTGACTTCAGCACCTGGCAAACTGGTTGAAACTATAGTAAAGAACAAAATTGTCAGACAATAGATTACCATAATTTGTTGGGGAAGAGTCAACATGGTTTTTGTAAAGGGAAATCATGCTTCACCAATCTACTAGAATTCTTTGAGGGGGTCAACAAGCATGTGGACAAGAGTGATCCAGTGGATGTAGAGTATTTAGATTTTCAGAAAGTCTTTGACAAGGTCCCTCACCAAAGGCTCTTAAGCAAAGTAAGCAGTCATGGGACAAGAGGGAAGATTCTCTCATGGATTGGTAACTGGGTAAAAGATAGGAAACAAAGGGTAGGAATAAACAGACAGTTTTCAGAATGGAGAGAGGTAGATAGTGGTGTCCCCCAGGGGTCTGTACTGGGCCCAGTCCTATTCAACATATTCATAAATGATCTGGAAAAAGGGGTAAACAGTGAGGTGGCAAAATTTCTAGATGATATAAAACTACTCAAGATAGTTAAGTCCCAGGCAGGCTGTGAAGAACTACAAACGGATCTTTCAAAACTGGGTGTCTGGGCAACAAACTGGAAGATGGAATTCAATGTTGATAAATGCAAAGTAAAGCACAGTAGAAAACATAATCCCAACTATACTTAAAATGGTGGGGTCTAAACTAGCTGTTACCACTCAAGAAAGAGATCTTGGAGTCATTGTGGATAGTTCTCTGAAAACACCCACACAATATGCAGTGGCAGTCAAAAAAGTGAACAGAATGTTGGGCATCGTTAAGAAAGGGGGCGATAAGCAGACAGAGAATATCATATTGCCTCTATATAAAACCATGGTATGCCCACATCTTGAATACTGCGTGCAGATGTGGTCGCCCCATCTCAAGAAAGATATATTGGACTTGGAAAAGGTTCGGCAAAGGGCAACAGAAATGATTATGGGTATGGAATGGCTGCTGTATGAGGAGAGATTAATAAGACTGGGACTTTTCCACTTGGAAAAGAGACGACTAAGGGGGGATATGATAGAGGTCCATACAATCGTGACTGGTGTCGAGAAAGTAAATAAGGAAGTGTTATTTACTCCTTCACATAACACAAGAACTAGGGGTCACCAAATGAAATTAATAGGCAGCAGATTTAAAACAAACAAAAGGAAGGTTTTTTTCACACAACACACAGTCAACCTGTGGAACTCCTTGCCAGAGGATGCTGTTATGCTAGGAGCTATAACAGGCTTCAAAAAAGAACTAGATAAATTCATGGAGGATAGGTCCATCAATGGCTGTTAGCCAGGATGGGCAGGGATTGTGTCCCTAGCCTCTGTTTGCCAGAAGCTGGGAATGAGCGACAGGAAAAGGATCACTTGATGATGACTGTTCTGCTCATTCCTTCTGGGGCACCTGGCATTGGCCACTGTTGGAAGATAGGATACTGGGCTAGATGGACCTTTGGTCTGACCTAGTGTGGCCGTTCTTATGTTTTTAAAGGACATGATAAAAGTAGAGAAGATAAGGAATGTGATACAGAAAGTGGATCAGGAACTTGCTTTCACCCTTTCTCATGTGTGAAAGGGTCAGGCCAGATGGCTACAAGAGAGTGCTAGAAGGCAGATATATTAGCCCCAGGTTAAGTAGGTCCCTTTTCCGTGGGTAAGGTAACAGGGAAGGTTCCAGAACAATCAGGAACTTTCTGGAAACAATTAAGGCAGACAGGCTGATTAGAACACCTGCAGCCAATCAAGAAGCTGCCAGAATCAATTAAGTCAGGCAGGCTAACCAGGGCACCTGGGTTTTTAAAAAAGGAGCTCACTTCAGTTTGTGGTCTACGTGTGGGGAGCTGGGAGCAAGAGGCGCAAGAAACTGAGAGGGAGAAGGCGTACTACTGGAAGACTGAGAAGGACAAGCATTAGCAGACGTCAGGAGGAAGGTCCTGTGGTGAGAATAAAGAAAGGCGTTGAGCGGAGGCCATGGGGAAGTAGCCCAGGGAGTTGTAGCTGTCACACAGCTCTTACAGGAGCCACTGTAGACAGCTGCAATCCACAGGGCCCTGGGCTGGAACCCGGAGTAGAGGATGGGCCCGTGTTCCTGCCATCCCTCCATCCCCTCAACTCCCTACTTGATACCAGAGGAGTTGACCTGGACTGTGGGTTCCACCAGAGGGGAAGGTCTCTGGCCTGTTCCCCGATCCACTAGGTGGATCAGCAGAGACTGAGGGGATTGTTCTTCTTCCTTTTCCCCGTGCTGGCCAGTGATGAGGCTAACTGAGTGAACGGCAGATTTGAGCCACGAAAGTGGCCAAACTGAGGGCTGCCGTGAACCTCTGAGGTGAGCAAATCTGCCAATAAGTGCAGGACCCACCAAAGCAGAGGAGGAACTTTGTGACACATGATACAAGAACAAGGGAGCATTCAATGAAATTACAAGGTGGCAAGTTCAAAACAGACAAAAGGAAATTGGTTTTTATCCAATGCACCGTTAGTCTGTGTGGCTACAAAACATTCCTGAGGCAAGACTTGGAGAAGGACTGGAGAGCCAGAATATCTACAGTGACATTAGACCGCGGAAAAACCCGCCAGCCTTTGGAAGGGTAACAAACCTTCCGGCTTGAGGCAGGCAAGAAGCCAATTGATGGGTTTACAAAGCAGTGTCCCCCTATGGGAGGTTATTGCTTAACTGCCTCGTCAACATTTTGTGCACTTTTCTCTGATGCAGCTGGTTCTGGCTAGTGCTGGAGACTGGCTATTGCTTTATTACCTAAGTACAAGTCAGCGGGTCTATTTCCATGTGCTAGTATAGAGTGAAGTGGAAAGCACATATGCTCACCTCCCGGCTGGATGAGAGACATGGGTTGCTTCCCTCGGACTTGGCTGGGATGCAGGGGCTGGGGGCTGGGGAGGAAAGCGGGGTGGGTGGGAACTGACATGAGACACCCATCTGGACTATGCCCAGTGAAGAGGCACACCTTGGAGACCCAAAGTGAGGTGACCCAAAGTGAGGTGACCATATTTTCAAAATCCAAGAGCAGGACACTTTTCTGACGTATTTTAGGGTCGTGAAAACTGGTACAAAAGAGGCACTAGTTAGAACTGTGTGCTGGTGATGCTACTCCCTGCTTTGGGCTCCGCCGCATGGCGGGCGCGTCCCTCCGGGTGCAGGCTCTGCCCAGGAATGCAGGCCAGATCTGCACAGGGTGACCAGACAGCAAATGTGAAAAATTGGGAGGGGGGGAATAGGAGCCTATATAAGAAAAAGACCCCAAAATCGGGACTGTCCCTATAAAATTAGGAAATCTGGGCACCCTAGATCTACACAAAAACTGGCACCACTTTAACTGAGGGTATTTTTAAACTGATTTCATTACACCAGCCCCAGTTTGTGTGTAGACACCCTTACTTCGGTTTAGCATAATCAGGTATGAAACTAAACTTGAATAAGCCACTCTGAGATGGAAATAAGAGAGCCCTCCCCCAGATGTGCAGCCCTTTTGCTGAGTGTTGAGTTTCAATATAGGGTTTCTGTTTGATCTGTAATATCACCCTCATGGTATGTCCGCTTGGACTTCCCACTGCCAAGACACACTGTGGTTCGCAAGGTGCCTGTCAGGATTGCTTCCTCTCCCGCTCTCACGCCTGGCTTCAGCGGAACTGCTGTTCTTATCATTGGCCGTGTGGGCTCAGGGCGGTGTGCGTGGTCTGGGTGACAAGTTTATCTAGATGGAGTGAGTAGGGCTGGCACACACCAGGGGTGGCGGTAGGCTGTCCCCAAGGGTTGAGCCTCTCTCGCGTGGGCTGGCCGAGCTCCCATCATGGTTCTTCCCCACCCCTCTCTGTTACAGCTCTCGCCCTGGAATGCCCCAAAATCAAAGTGAGCACCTGTCAGGACTGCATCCGGTCTGGCCCCGGCTGTGCTTGGTGCAAGAAACTGGTAGGTCTGCATTTCCTTTCATTGCACCAGCTCGCAGCTTCTGTGCTGGCCTCCCAACCCACCACCCACCCCCATGATGGTGCTTGGCCACACTCACTGCTCTGCAGAAGTCACCCCGCCCTTGGGAGAGGAGGCTGGGCCAAGGGGATCCCCAGGAAGACCTCCCACTGGCCCAGACTGGGGCAGAGGGAGTCTGTTTGCAGTGGCCCTGCAGAGGGGTCGTGCCCCATTCCTGTTCCAGGGGGAGAGGGACACTCCCAGGTACGTCCCCTGGGCTCAGGGAGCTCCGATGGAGGCATTCTCCCGCCCTGCCTCCAGCTGCCCCCGCACACCCCCTGCAGCCGGTTCCTGTCGCTAACCCATGGGAGCAGCATCTGCTTTCCGCAGCATTAGCAGCAACTCTGGCCTTGTCTAGACAGGGGAAAGGTTTTTCCCACAGAGGCTGTTGGAGGTCGCTGCCTAGGCTGTCCATAGACCTGCTGCAATCCCACGGACGGCGTTCCCCTGCTTCCAGGCTGGTGTTCAGCGGGGCTTTTGGCTGGCTTACACTAGCTCCATTGTGCTAACTCCCCCTTTCCCCTAGCCTAGACTAGGCTTCTGCAGGAAACCGTGTGGCTGAGCCCCTGCTTGGGGCTCCTCCCCGGAGGGTAATCTGGGCCCTTGCTGACCTCTCCCCATGGGGAGATGAAGGGTTAATGCAGAATGCAAGGAGGTTTATTTCCTGGGAGGGGGGATGGAGCCAGCCGAGGAGTGCCCCACTCATGCCCATGGCTGACAAGGCAGGCGGGGAGCCGGAAGATGAGCTGGGCACAGTGTCTGAGAAAGGACGTTCCCTGTTTCCTTGATGAGTGAGTTGCTCCATCTTGATGGCCAGGCCAGTAGTTAACTACCAAACCCTGCAGCTCCAACGCTGTGCTTGTGGCTGTGGGGCGGAGGAGGGGAGAAGCGGGGCGTGGGGAGCTGGGAGGTGTCTGGTGGTGGTAGGCTCTGTAACCTTCTTTTCTGTGCCCCCTGTTCCCAGCTGTCCAATGACTCGCTTGGGCAGGTCTCTGAACTAACATGGCTTGTGCTCAAGGATTTCCCTTTGTTCCCCCTTTGGTTTTGCAACGCACAGAATTTCACCAAAGCGGGCGAGCCAGACTCCATTCGTTGTGACACCAGAGAGCAGCTGCAGCAGAGGGGATGTGACGCAAAAGACATCGTGTTCCCAGAAAGCAATTTCATCCAACTAAAGAACACCGCTCTAGAGGACAAGACACAGCTGGCTCCCCAGAAAGTGCGCTTGCTCTTGAGACGAGGTACAGTTTGCTGGGAAGCTGGGTTGGCGGCCGAGTCTGACCACGGGGGGGGAGCAATGCCGTGTGGAGGAAAGCACAGGCCCATAGCCACTGATACGCATGGGACCGGTTCAGGCCCAGAATGTGTCCGGGTCCCTCTTTTCCTGCAGCGTGTTTAAATCACAGGTGGGTGCTTCGTTCGCGTGTGGAAACCGGTGCATGAGAAAAATCCTTGTGTCAGCTGAGATGGGGGGTGGGGTTACGTCCGGAAATTAGCGCTGAGGATGGTGCGATGGTCGGACAGCAGCAGGCTCACTGCAGCCAGGCGGGCTCGCAGAAAGCAAGTACACATTCACTGGCAGGGTGATTCAAGTGCAGAGTTGAGGCAGCTCCCCCACAAGATGGATGCCTGCCCTCCTGCCCTTGCCCAGTGTGGGGAACAGAAGGCAGACCCAAAGGGTGGGGAAGCAGAAGGGCCATGACCCGGGAAGGAATGTCAGTGTCTCCAGAACAAGCAGACAGCCCGTTGACAAGCACCAGGAATGCTCAGCAAAGGTGCAGCTTCCCGCCCTCCCCAGCACCACGCAGCCATGACTCTGCCCCCTTGGCCTGCCAGCACCCCCTCTTCCTGGTTCCTTGTGAGGGAGCAATATTTGCCCAAACATGCAGAACAGTAACTAGGAATTGCCCTGATGCCTCGTTAGCCTCGTTAACTGTGATTGTGCTTCTGGAGAGGAGGAGGAAGAGTAGCTCAGTATACCCTGTGTGATCCCTGTCAGCCAGCAGCAAGGACCAGCTAACACTGAAATGCTGTGGGGCTGTAGGAACATGAGTCCTGACTAGAGCTGTGGGGGGTACCAAGAAAATGGCCTCTTTTGTTTGGCAGGAGTAAGATCCAGTGATAAGCCCAGTTCCTAGCGTGGTCCCAATGGGGCAGAATTAAGGCCGAGGCTAGTGGGGTGTGGCAAGCAGCACCTTAACTCTGCATTCCCTGTGGTTCATAAATTTGTGGTGAGTTTTCTCTTGTCACAGTAACTTTCTTTACAGGGCTGTGTGGAGAGAAGTTTGGGGCTTTCGGTCTGAAAAGACACAGGGGACAAAAGGCCCTATTGTGCAACACTGACCTTATCTCCACCTTAACACAGTTCTTTGTACATGACTTTCGTTTGTTTTCCAAATGTGTGAAAGAACCCAGCTGGCAAGGGGCCCAGCCATCTCCCTAGCAGCAGAGCAGATGTACTCTCTCCTGGCTGGGACAGAGAATCTTTACAGACAGTATTAACCATTGCTATAGATCTCAAGGAGTCAGACCCTGGGGCCCCCCCAACCAACAGTGCTCCTGGAGAGCACCTGCAAACACAACAGCTTTGAGAGCCAGTCTCATCCAAGGGATGAGCCTCATCAACACTGACAATTGCACTCATTATATACAGAGGTTTTTTAGGAGCTGATGAATAATGAATAGATGTTACAAGCATGTTACAGGCATGTTACAAGCATGCCTAGTATGTGTTACAGATGGTTATCAGCATATGAGTAGAACTGGGCAAAAAATTTGGCTAAAACTTTTTTCTAGTGAAAACTGGAGATTCAGGTTAACTAAAACACTTAGCAGATTTGTGTCAATTTTTAAAATTTGTTTCAGTCCAAATAAAACCTAAAAAATATTCCAAAAAATGGAACTGCTTTGTTTTGAAAATGTTGAAACGAAACATTTAGATTGTTGGATTTAAAACAGCTTTTTGTTTTGAAATTTCCTTCAATTGTAGAAAGGCAGGAACATGTCGCTTTCGATGAAATGTCATTTCAGAAACAATGGAAGTGTTTCAGTAAGGTCGAAATTTTCCGTTTCACAACAAAATGTTTCGAGTTTTCATTTCAAAATGAGTTTCTATTGAGAGAGCTACATTATTGTGTTACCTTGAACCAGCTACTATACCAGCTATTCAACCATGACCAGTTGTTTTATTTGACAATTTAGAAATAATTTTTAAACCCTAATTTTAAAATATTTTAAGAACAGAATAAAAACTATATGAAATAAATATAAAGTCAAAATCAAAATGAAATGTTTTGTTTAACCCCCGCCCCTTCTTTTGAATTTTGTTGTGCAGGACATTTTGAAATTTCAACTTTTCATTCCTATTTGGAATGAGGTTTTTTCCCCAAAATGGTGGAATTTCCCCTGGAATGAATAATTCAAGTTTTGACCAGCTGTAATTGCCTTTATAATAATAATAATAAGTACCATAGTGCCTAGAGCCCTAGTGATGGAGCAGGACCACCCTGTGCTAGGTGCAGGGATAGACACATAGTAAAAAGACAGTTCCTGCTCTGAAGAGCTTACACTGTAAATATCAGAGACGATCCAACAGATGGAAACAGATCTGGGAGTACAAGGAAACAATGAGATGCACTTGTCAACAGGACAGGCACACCAGCAGCCGAACCAGGGTCCCAGGAGATGGTGATGGTGACAGCTGCCATGATGGTGAAGGTCACGCCTTTCTCTTCTCCTGTCCTTCAGTGATCTGCTCCTGTGGTTGTGACAGCTCAATTCTCCCTGAGTTTTGTCTTTCAGGGACCCCCAAGGGAGTGAGGGGTGGAATAGCCCATCCTCTCCTCCTTTTTCTGACACCCTGACTTTGGTGCACTGATTTCAGGTCCCACACCGGCATGATCCTAACACAGTCCTTGAATCAGACCAGGAGGCTTTTCATTTGGATTAATTCAGTCTGTCTGTCTCTCCCTTTTGCACCTTTTCTCATCAACGTTTGTTGTTGTAGGTTATTGTGATATTTTGTGAACTTTCACTCACTTCTCATAGTTGAGCTCACAATGGGAGTAAATTGGTAGGCCAAGTTATTACAACAGGAAATGGCCAAAATGATGGGCTAGGAGAATTATCTTTGCAGCTGCATTCTGAACGGCTGTGAGCAGGGCAAGATGGCATTTGTGAAGGCCGGAGAAAAGGATTTTGCAATAATCGAGACGTGCGGGGCAGAGAACCTGCAGGCGAGTTTTAGCTGTGTGGATGGAGAGGAAAGCCCAGTTCTTATAGACGGTATTCATGGATTCCAAAACCAGAAGGTACCATTGTGATCATCTGTTCTGGCCTCCTGGATAGCCCAAGCCAGAGACCTGCCCCATAATAACTCCAAGAGCAGATCTGTTAGAAAAACACCCACTCTTGATTTAAGAATTGTCGCTGTCTTGGTCGTGCAGTGGAACAGGCGATAACCTACTAGGATCCTTGGTAAATCTTTCCAATGGTTCCTTACTTTCACTGTTTAAAATGTACACCTTATGTCCAGTCTGAATTTGTCTAGCTTCAGCTGCCAGCCATTGGATTGTGTTACAGCTTTCTCTACCTTCAGGAGCTCACTAGTAAATACTCATTCCCCATGTAGATACGTATAGACTGTGATTAAGTCAATCCTTAATCTTCATTTTCTTACACGAAATAGATTGAGTCTATCGCTCTAAGGCAGGTTTTCTAATCCTTTAATGGTTCTCATGGCTCTTCTCTGAACCCTCTCCAATTCTACACCATCCTTCCTGAATTGTGGGCACCAGAACCGGACACAGTGTTCCACAGCAGTCACGTCATTCCATTGAGCCGTTTCCATGCTCTGCCTCTCCCCTGGCAGGTCAGCCAGCTGAGTTCAACGTGACCTTCCGCCGGGCCGAGGGCTACCCTATTGACCTCTACTATCTGATGGATCTCTCCTACTCCATGCATGATGACCTGGAGAAAGTGAAGAAGCTGGGAAGGGACCTGCTCGCAGCTCTGAACTCCATCACCACCTCCGGCCAGATCGGTAAGTGGTTCTCTGGGCACCCACGCTCTCTTGGCAGCATTGAAGAGCCACTAGCTAAATCCAGTTCTAGCAAGAACAGAGGAAGATGTACCACACAGCAGTGAATATGGCCACGTGGCCAGCCTGCAGTAGCCAGGCCAGGAGAGACGTCAGGGCTGGGGGAAGAGGTGTTCAGTAAGCACACAGGGATGATGCAGACTGGGCTCACCCTCTTGCTCTGCCCAGCCCCTCCATGGAGAGCACTGCGCTCTGCTTGGTCACATGTCCACGGAGGGGAAGGGGGCCCGTAGCTGCAGCCAAGAGACGCATTGGCTCCATATGTGCTTGCTTCAGACGCTGCTGCTACGTTCGGGTTTGGTTCTGCTCTCTGTGAGATCACTGGCAAAACTCTCCCTGGCTGCCAGGGGCACAGGAAAGGAGCCTAGTGGCTGCAGACTCTCAGACCTCCCCGTTTTCACTTAAAACCAGCCTGGAATGTCTGACCCATTTGGATCTCTGGCAGCAAAGAAAACAGGCTAAATGGAGAAGGAACTGGGCCAGCCGGAGACAGCAGCCCTGGGGGAAATGTGGCCCACCCAGGCACCTCAGTGCGCATCTCAAGGCTCTCCTAGCCAGAGCCCTCTGCCAGGGAGAGGCAGCTGGGGGCAGGGTCCATCAGAGAGGGAGAGGGAGCCACCAAGGGAGGGGAGAGCAGGACAGAGGGGCCAGTGACATCCCAGGGCGGAGGAAGGGAGAATGGGGGTCAGGAACCACAGGGGGAGGGGAGAGGCAGCAGTCACCAGTGGGCCATGAGGAGATTCCCACTTCGCTGCTTGACTGCAGCCTCAGAGGTGGATTAAGCTTTTGTGGGGCCCTGGGCCAGAGCAAGTGGGGGGCCTCCCCACCGCTTCCACCTGAAGTCCCCCCGCCCCTCTCTGTGCTCCTGCTGGGGAAATGGGGTTGGGGCACAGGGCCTTCCCCCGCCTGCCTGATGCTCCTGTTGGGGAGCAGGATCTGGGTGTGGGGGGCTTCCCCTGGTCCCCAGCAGGAGGGCCGGGCAGCTGGAGCAGGGTGCCAGGGCACCCATTTTTCCAGGAGCCCTCACTTGGCCAGTACCCCTGGGCCTGGGCCCTGTTGGTTCAGTGGATAATCCACCACGGTGTGTCCCTGCGTGGCTGGGTTGCTCTACGGCTGGGGCAGGATGCTGGTCTAGATCCCTTCTTCATGGATGGTGCTGCGTAGCTGACCTGACGTCTGCACTTAGCTCGGGCCCGTCTTTCCCCAGAGCACTCTAACTCCAAGTGACCCTCGCGCTCCTCCCTGGACAAGCGGCTGCCTCCCACCGGCACCCCTCATTTGCCGTGCGCTGGTTACTTGCACCTTCCGCCCACGCCCCGTGGCATAGTGACCCCTGGGGTTTATTACATCCCCACAGCTGCACCCGCCAAGTCTCTGGCCGTGGTTGTTTGAGGGGTGTGGTACTGGGCACTGCTCCCTAATGCTGCATCCCCCTGTGCACCCCAGGCTTCGGCTCCTTTGTGGACAAGACGGTGCTGCCCTTCGTGAACACGCACCCCGAGAAGCTGAAGAACCCCTGCCCAAACAAGGACACCACCTGCCAGCCGCCGTTCGCTTTCAGGCACGTCCTCTCCCTCACTGGAAATGCCGATGTGTTTGATAGGGAGGTCAAGAAACAGTCCATCTCGGGGAACCTCGATGCCCCCGAGGGGGGGCTGGATGCCATGATGCAGGTGGCAGTCTGCGGGGTAAGTCCAGTCACCATCACCCAGCTTAAGCTGGTTACCGGGTGGGGATGACTCAGAGTTAGAGCATGTGTGGTCAGATGTTGAGGGGCATAACGCCAGGCCAAAGGGACCTTGCGAATGACTGGAGGGTTAGACACCAGGACTCCTAGGGAGAGACTCAAGGAGCTCAAGCTACTTATCTCAACCCAGAGAAGGTTGGGGGGTGACTTGATCCCAGTCTGTAAGTCCCTACGTGGGGAACAGATATTTGATAATGGGCTCTTGGGTTGAGCCGAGAGGTCTGACACAGCCCCATGGCTTGGAAGCTGAAGCTAGCCACATTCAGACGGGAAATAAGGTGAACATTGTTAATAGTGACAGAACAGGGAGCAACGGTCTCAAGTTGCAGTGGGGAAGATCTAGGTTGGATATTAGGAAACACTATTTCACTAGGAGGGTGGTGAAGCACTGGAATGCCTTACCTAGGGAGGTGGTGGAATCTCCATCCTTAGAGGTTTTTAAGGCCCAGCTTGACAAAGCCCTGGCTGGGATGATTTAGTTGGGGTTGGTCCTGCTTTGAGCAGGGGGTTGGACTAGATGACCTCCTGAGGTCCCTTCCAACCCTGATATTCTATGATAGTGGTAGATACGCTGGAGGGGAGGGATAGGATACAGAAGGACCTAGACAAATTGGAGGATTGGGCCAAAAGAAATCTGATGAGGTTCAATAAGGATAAGTGCAGGGTCCTGCACTTAGGACGGAAGAACCCAATGCACCGCTACAGACTAGGGACCGATTGGCTAGGCAGCAGTTCTGCGGAAAAGGACCTAGGGGTGACAGTGGACGAGAAGCTGGATATGAGTCAGCAGTGTGCCCTTGTTGCCAAGAAGGCCAATGGCATTTTGGGATGTATAAGTAGGGGCATAGCGAGCAGATCGAGGGACGTGATCGTTCCCCTCTATTCGACATTGGTGAGGCCTCATCTGGAGTACTGTGTCCACTTTTGGGCCCCACACTACAAGAAGGATGTGGATAAATTGGAGAGAGTCCAGCGAAGGGCAACAAAAATGATTAGGGGTCTAGAACACATGACTTATGAGGAGAGGCTGAGGGAGCTGGGATTGTTTAGCCTGCAGAAGAGAAGAATGAGGGGGGATTTGATAGCTGCTTTCAACTACCTGAAAGGGGGTTCCAAAGAGGATGGCTCTAGACTGTTCTCAATGGTAGCAGATGACAGAACGAGGAGTAATGGTCTCAAGTTGCCGTGGGGGAGGTTTAGATTGGATATTAGGAAAAACTTTTTCACTAAGAGGGTGGTGAAACACTGGAATGCGTTACCTAGGGAGGTGGTAGAATCTCCTTCCTTAGAGGTTTTTAAGGTCAGGCTTGACAAAGCCCTGGCTGGAATGATTTAACTGGGAATTGGTCCTGCTTCGAGCAGGGGGTTGGACTAGATGACCTTCAGGGGTCCCTTCCCACCCTGATATTCTATGATTCTATGATTCTATGATGATTCTAAGAATAGTGACCAAGCATCAGGCTGGATTCTCCATGGCTGACAATTCTCCATGACTGACTCCAGGCCAGCTGTTTGTCTAAAGGATCTGCTCTCGGGATTATTGTGGGGCAGGTCTCTGGCCTGGACTACAGAGGGGGTCAGCCTGGTGATCCCCATGGTCCCGCTGGCGGGAGTCGGCATAGGCCTGCCTATCTAGGCACAGAGGCTGCCCTCACTTCTAGGGATGCAGGCCCAGGAGCATAAATGGGGTCTGGGTCTGCCCTGGAATGGATTATCTCTGTCTCCCCTTTGGGTCCATCTCCCTGGTTTCCATTAGGCAGGCATGAGTCTCTATTTGCCTGCATTGGTCTCGGTGTGCTGGGAAGTGCAGGCCCATGTCTGTCTATAGCAGGGCCATGCACCTCCACGCACTCCTTGCTTCATGGAGTGGCTGTATGTCTGTACATTTCCTCACATTGCTCTTACTCCCCACCTGTTTCCAGGGAAATTGCATGCCAGTGTCCTGTCTCTTGGTGGTATGAACACGGAGTTTCTCTTTCATTAGGACGTGATACTCTATATTCCTGAGGTGGCCTGGGCTCTCCCATTCTTGGGCTCTCGCTGACCCTGTTGTTTCCTTGTTCAGGTAGTGAAAACAGGTCTTACCAATCCACTGCAGTAAAGTCCTCTCCTTTCTGTTCTCAGAACAAGATTGGCTGGCGCAATGTAACTCGTCTGCTGGTATACGCCACGGATGACGGCTTCCATTTTGCTGGGGATGGTAAACTCGGAGCCATTCTGACCCCTAATGATGGTCAATGCCACCTGGAAGAGAACATATACAAAATGAGCAATGAGTTTGTAAGTGACCTTAGCAGCATGTTGGCTCTAACTCACCCTGGCTTCCGCAGTGAGCAGCCACTTTGTAGACTAGCTGGAGCCAATTCCCCTCCAACACTTGACCCCCTTCCCATCCTTGGCCGCTCCCCTGGTACATCCCCATGTCAGGGGCAGAGCCTGCTCCTGTGAACTGCATCCAAATGTAAAGTTTGCAATTAAATCTGCATTTCTTAGCCAGCTGCTGGCAAGCACTTACCTGCTGACAAGGGTCCCCCGTGGTATCAGATTGTAAGAGACTGTAAAGCAGGCGCCCTGGTGCTCTAGGGGGGTGGGGGTGGACTCCAAGGGAGGTTTTCTATTACTAGAACAGACCCCTGTTTTACTCTTAGAGCATGGAGGAGTGAATTAGGTGTTGGGGTTTGTGTCCTGGACACTCTGGCAGGCCTTTCCTGTAGCAGCCATCCAGATAAATGCTTTAATCCATTCACACAGCAAGGAAGGCAAACCGGAGAAATTGAAATCCCTAATTCTGGGGGCTGCTCCTTTTTCTCTCAGTTCCATCTGGGAAAGTCAGGGGGATGGTGGTTAAAAGTCTGTTGCTAGGTCCACAAGATTCTGCTGGAGAAAGGAAAAACCAGTCAGCTACTGGCTCAAGAGAGCAGATCCCAGGGGATCTCACTCCATCAGAACCCGTGACCATGCTGGTACTCTGAGTGGGTCTGGAAACCAAGCATATTTATCTTCCCGGTAGCAAAGAAGTGTCTAAAATATAAACTCACAGCTGCTGTTCCCTTTCTCCCCCAGGACTACCCGTCCGTCGGCCAGCTGGTACAAAAGCTTGCTGAAAATAATATTCAGCCCATTTTTGCTGTCACTAGCAGAATGGTTGGAATATACCAAGTAAGTAGAACTTGAACAGTCCCAGAAACGTTGCCCAGTGGTTCAGTGCTTCTGAGAGACGAGGATGAAAAGCAAGTGGAAGCCCAAGTCTCTCCTTCCACTCTCAGTGACATCAGCACAGCTCAGGATTCCTCTTCTGCTCTTGCACAGATGGGGTGTACAAACCCCATGTGAATCGGGAACAGGTCAGTGGGCTGGTTGAGCCCAGTCATCCCTGCCCTGCCACGCCTGAAGCAGGGGCCTGGCTGGGAGGGAGGAGCTCAAATGGGGGCCCAGCTCAGCTGGCTCCTGCTGTGGAGGAAGCAGTGAGAGAGCCGGCTGGCTGGGGGGCAGGGACAGAAGATGTAGGCTGAGGTGGAAGCCAGTGTTGTGTTGGTACTCGGCAGACGCTGGGCTGGGGGAGGAGTCAGAGGAGCAGGAAGCCCAGGTGGGAAGGCAGAGTTTGGACTTTGGGTACCCTGGATGGATGAAATGTCTTTGAGACCTAGCCACAGGGCTAAGCCAGCTCAGCCTAGAAGGTGTTCCAGGTGGGGTGAGTTAGCGGAAGACCAGGAGGGAAACTGAGGCAGAATGATCGTCATGCCGCACAACACCTTTGGCAGTGCAGGGAGAGTACATGCCCATGCTCACATGATTAAATTAGGGGATTCTTTTCATGTGTGTGCTCTCCATTGGTAGAAGCTCAGTGAAATGATCCCCAAATCAGCAGTGGGGGTGCTGCACGAAGATTCCAGCAACGTCATCCAACTCATCAAGGAAGCCTACAACGTAAGTTTCACATCACGCGCTCAATGTATCGTTCTGGACCTTGCCAGGCCGCCTGCACCAAGAGCCCTGTGTGCCTTATACCATCTGGGGGGAGAGGGATGGAACGGGAAGGGCAGGTTGCTCAGCCAGTTATACAAAGTATAAACATACATGCTGCACCCCTTTCTCCCATGTCTCTGCCTGAAGTCTGTGCACTGCTCAGGCATGCCTTCTTCATCCCTCTGGCAAGGACCCAAGGCTGCCACCTGAACTGCTGTGTCCCCCGAACGCTTCAGCCCCGGATGCCTTTGACACTGCTTTGCTAGTGAATAGCAGACCTCCCCAGGCTCTGCTCACTTACAGCCACCAGCTGAGTATATGAATGCTAGGTCCAGCCATCCAGGATTAGATGACACCCTCATATTCCACAGTCCCAACCTTGCCCCCCAAGAAATATGCCTCTTGTGCCACTGGACTTACAAGCTCATAAATTAGTTCATCATTCCAACAAAGTGTAATGAATATGCACCAGCCTCGTTGACCTGGGTAGAGATTTTCCCAAACACACTGGTTTAGACAAAACAATGAAACAAGTTTATTAACTAGAAAGAGATAGACTGTAAGCAGTGATCCCTCTAATTTTTCCCACCCATGTATGGAATGAATTTTGTTATGTGCACCAATATGGAGGTGAGGTGTGACACATCACCTTCATATTGGTGCACATAACTAAATTCATGTGGTGGGGGTGGGGCCAAGGGGTTTGGAGTGTGGGAGGGGGCTCAGGGCTGGGGCAGAGGTTTGGGGTGCAGGGGGTGAGGGCTCTGGCTGGGTTGCGGTCTATGAGGTGGGGCTGGGGATGAGGGATTTGGGGTGCAGGAAGGGACTCTGGGACTACAGCGGGGAGAGAGGACTCCCCACAGCTCTCTCTCCCCGCAGCAACACGTGGGCTGGGGGGAAGAGGCACATCTCCCCACCGGGTCAGCTCCGGGGCTGGGGCCGCAGGATAGCACAAGCAGGTCTGGGATGGGACTGGGTTCAGGCCGAGGGAGGGGCACCATGGCAGGTCCAGGCCAGGGCTGGGTCCAGGCTGGGCCATGCCGGCTGCAGCTGGGTTGAGGCCGGGCTGCCCCAGCTGGGTTCAGGCCACAGTAGGGGTGCCCCGGGCAGTCCAAGCGCCCTGGCCGAGTTGGGGCCATGGGAGGAGTGCCCCGGCCGCGGCAAGTCCGGGCTGCCCCAGCCGCAGCAGGTTGGGGGCCAGGCTACGTTGAGGCCGGGAGAGGAGCACCCCTCCCCTGGCCCCCGGGCGAGTTCCCTGAGTGCCTGCCTGGTGATAAGAAGGCTGCTGCACAGCCACACAGCTTACAGGGAACTTAGATTGTAAGTGATTATAAGTATTAGGGCATAAAAGTCAGAACTGGTTACAATAGAAATCAAAAGATAACACTGCAGTCTAATTCCTAAACTTTACCAAGCTAAATGAGATTTGAAGCAAACATCATTCTCACCACACCAGATACTGCAGCCAGTTCTTAATTCACAGGCTGGATTTCCTTTCAGCCTGGGACCACTCCCCTTTAGTTCAGTGTTCTCCAGGTATTCCTTGATCTTCTGAGCAGAGCAACATAAGGTGGAGAGGTGAGGTGGCCTGAGGCATTTCCCCCCGCCCTTCTTATAATCTAACCCTCTGTACTGGAAAAGTCTTTGCTGGGTCATGGGGTCAGGCAGTTCCATGACATACATGAGCTGCCAGATGTCCTTCAGGTGAATTGTAAATTTCTTGTTTACAGCTGGTGAATTTCCAATTAAGCAGGTAATGACTCTTTAGCACCCTGCTGGTGTGAAGTCTCTGAAAAACTAGTTTGAGCCTGCTTTTCTAACTTTGTAACATGTTAAAGTAAAATCATTGTTATCGATTAGAGTCTCGTAACCTTACATACAAAGTTGCCACACATATTTTACCAGGCTAATAATGTCCAGCTGATTATGAGTTTTCAAATGATACTGCACAAGGCATGCTTTGTACAAAATATATCATAACCATATAAAAGTGGTGAACATGGGGTACAGTGTGTCACATCCACTACTTAGTATGGTCTTCCTAGGGGTTTCAGCTTCTCAATCAATTCAGTTCCTGGACTATCACATCCAACTGAGTTTTATCAGTTTTAGGGCTTCCAGTCTCTTTCAGTCACCTGGCTGTTTTCTTGGAGGCAACCTGGTGTGGGGTTGTCACCCCTTTGCTACCTCAGGCCTTTCCACCTCTGTTTCCGTCTCTGTAATGTGCCCTTTATAGCAGGTCTTGTTTTCTCTACTGGTTGCAGCTGTGGGTGCCTGCCTCCATGATTGGCTGTTCTGGCAGCTGCTTGAGAGTGAGATCAAGCTGCTTGCTTGTAAAGAGGAGACTTTCCTGCCCCCTCCCCATGTTCAGTGGGGGGTCTGTAAACCCCATTACTGAGCACCAGGAACAAGACTAATATCTTGCTCTTACGCAGGAGTATTAAATAAAACCAGTACTGGCTCAGGATAAATGAGAAGCAAAATACAACATTTCAAAACCAGTACTGAGAGGTTGGAAGGGACAATGGAAATTAACATGGGTTTCACCTGCAAATTTTTTAGTGAAACCTGAATGTTTTTGTGCAGTCTTTGTTTTTGCAGCAAACCATTAATTACTCACAGATCCTTAATTTTCTGTATGAGATTTGTAGCCCACAGGATTATTTTGCTAGCTATTATATCCTACTAATCCAGCCAGTCCTATCAAATAATATGCTTCTCTTTCTGAATTAATCCATTTCATTCTTATATTTTATCAGTATAAATCCCTATGAATTTAGGATGTGTTGAAGTATATGATATGTGTTTCCTAATAATTATACATAGAATAAGTTTTGCTGAAATGCAAGAAGTTTACGGCCTGTATCCAGTAAGATCCACGAGATAGCTAAAAGTATAATCAGTTAAGAGTAAGTCAGCATAAAAGCTGGCAATGTTTGGCACAGATAGGAATAGTCCCTGAACTTTGGGGAACCAAAGGGAGGAACTATACAAAACACTGAACAGGTTCATCCAGCGTCTGCAACCAGCTGGTATCCGCAGGGCACACCACAAACCAGGAAGTCTCCAAGAGAGCCTAGGTTGGCAGTCTGGGGAGTGAGATAATCCTTATTAATATATATTAATATATATTAATATAGAGTAAGTGTCATAATCCACTAACCTATAGGATAAGGGCACCCATACATTTCTTAGGGTACGGAAATAAGTTTGGTTGGGCCTGAATTACACAGTGTCAGGATCCTATAAAATACCTTGTAAGGATATCATAGAAAGCTCTTTTAGTCTTTAGCTCTTTCTTTTCTGTGTTCTCCTATATTCTATAGACTATCTTTCTATCTACCTATTATTCTATCTTCTATCACGCTACCAGCTCAGCTTGTGTAGTATAGTATAACTACTCAGCATTCCTAACTATTGGGGAAGCCAGCACCATCGTGTTATCAGGCACGCCAGGAGTAAGGCTGGTCCTTCACCTCCTATTACCGGGTCCTCAAGGAAGGGTGTGGGTATGTTAAGTTAAGGTACTTATGATAGAAATGTTACCACCAGGAGTTTTGGAATTCTTTTACTGTTTTGCAGTCATAAGTTTCATAGCATTTATTATGCTTTTGTTAATCTCAATAAAGTTTTTATCAATTTGGTATTGTCCTCAGTGTAAGTGTTTTTGCCAAGCACCCTGAGAGTCCTCTCCCGATATAGAACTCTTTGAGTTCTCAGACCCTGTAGTCTGAATTGGAAAAGAACCTATATATAAATTTTCTGGTCGGATGTGATCAGTGGCGAGCCATAACAAATAACCCATAAAATTCTGGTCAACAGAATTCTAACATGCCAAGTATCTGACTTATATTATACATGCAGGTGCTGTGCACAAACATTACACTAAACATGAGTCATTGCCAGAGCAGGAACCAAAATCTTCCTCCTTGTCCTTCCACTGTATGCTCTCATATTGAATAATGGACATATTTCCCCTGTCTGGAAAGACTTAGAGCAGTGCAGAGTCCAAGCGGAAGTCCCCAGTTATGTTGCCTCATTATCACAGAGTAGGGGTGATGTATCTGGGGTGGGAAAGACTGATCCACTCTTCCCCAAAACAAACCATACATTGCACATCCCAAATCCTGAGTCATACCCTAGCAATCCCATTTCCACCGCATTTACCAGAGCTAAGCTCTCACTTCCTAGTCCTCCCTCTCAGTCATCCCTTGTATTGAACTGATTACAGTTACACCCAAAGGAAAAGCAATAGCGCCCGGCAGGAGGTATAATACACTGTGATGCAGGCAAGCTATCCTCAAGGAGTGTTTATTCTGAGGCGGTTCTCAGATTTGATCCCCTCTTTGTGATGCTGACATATTTCTATGTCATTTTCTTTCTTGTTTTCCTCACAGAACTTGTCCTCCAGAGTCATCCTGGACCATGGTACCTTGTCGGACGTTTTAAAAGTCACATACGATTCTTTCTGCCATGGCAAAAAACCCACCATGGATGGCATGAGAGGGGAATGTAGTGATGTCAAGATCCATGACGAGGTAGGAGAGCCCTAGGGTGACCAGATGTCCTGGTTTTATAGGGACAGTCCCGATTTTGGGGTCTTTTTCTTATATAGGCTCCTATTCCCCACCCCGACCCCCTGTGCCAATGTTTCACATTTGCTGTCTGGTCGCCCTAGAGAGCTCTGGCTCAGTCCTTTCTGTAACCTTAGTTTCTCGCAGAAAGATCAGGAGCAATACTCAGGTCCTAGAGCTCCAAGGGAACACAGGATCCTGAGTGCAGAGTCCCTGTATGTTCTTTACATAGCAGAACCCAATCCACTGCCCCCCTCTCCACGGTCAGGTGAAGTTAGGGTTGAGGTTACCTGTCACATCAGGAGGGAGAATCAGAAAATCAAGACTTCTTTTCTTTTCTGCAAAAATTTCTTGGCAAACCAGAAACATCTCCTGCAAATCCTGAACCCCTCCCAGGATCGGGCCCTGAATGGCAGTTGAGGAAGGAACTGCCTTCACAATGCGATCTGTCAGCGCTGGCTGGGAATTCTCCAGCCACATGTTCATTTGATAGAAAATGTCGCTTCTGCAAAATCAACATGTTTCCATTGATTTTACAGAGTTGTTTTTTTGTTTGTTTGTTTCCAACTGGGGAAAACTGAAAACTAAATACTTTGTTTTGGGTTGGATTGACCTGAATCAAACCAAAATGTATCATTTCGGGTCAGTTAGACACTCATGTGTAAAAGGAAAAGGAGTACTTGTGGCACCTTAGAGACTAACCAATTTATTTGAGCATAAGCTTCCATGAGCTACAGCTCACTTCATCGGATGCATACTGTGGAAAGTACAGAAGACATTTTTATACACACAAACCAAAAAAATGGGTGATTATCACTACAAAAGGTTTTCTCTCCCCCCACCCCACTCTCCTGCTGGTAATAGCGTATGTAAAGTGATCACTCTCCTTACAATGTGTATGATAATCAAGGTGGACCATTTCCAGCACAAATCCAGGTTTTCTCCCCTCCCCGAACACCTCTCCCCCCCCCAAAAAAAACCACTCTCCTGTTGGTAATAGCTTATCTAAAGTGATCACTCTCCTTACAATGTGTATGATAATCAAGGTGGGCCATTTCTAATGTGTGTCTACATGAGATGTTTCATGGGTGCCTCATGCCTCCATTGTCCCCTAGGGACTGGATTCTCTGGCTAGACTTCATCTCCTCCCATGCACCGTGGCCTTGCCACTTAATATGGTGCATCATGGGAATTCCATGGCAGCAGTGTATCATGAGAAATGTAGTCCAACCCAGGAGCCGGGCCCATAGAGGAGGATGGGGGCATGGGGCACCTGCAATACCCCATGGCAGCTTAGTGGACACTATTTAATGTCAAACTGACCTGACACAAAGTGTTTCAACCCTTCTGGACCAGGCATTTTTTTCTTTGAACTTCTAAATTTTTGTGGAGGGGGGGAGGGGGTTTGATATTTTGACTTTTTTCATGATTCAGGACAAAAACAAATGTTGAAACAGAAGCATTTCCCGTAGGATGAAAGTTCCAATGTTTGACCATCTCTACTGTGTTCTAGTGAGAGATTTGTAAAGGGACCCCACAGACCCGATTCCAGAAATTTCCTGTCTCCTGGAGGGGACATTTCAGGACAGAGGCAAATTTAGGTTAGGGCTGGTAGCCTGAGCACCTTGACCATGATGCTTTCCTAGAAAACAGTCCCATAACCTGGTTCCTTCACCTCCTTCCAGGTTACCTTCCGGGTGAAAGTTACAGCAAAGGAGTGCATTGAAAACACGTTCTTTACCATCCGGCCCCTGGGCTTCACAGACACACTCACTGTGGAACTGGTCAGCCGGTGCAACTGTGACTGTGATGAGCGACCCAGCCGCACTGACTGCAGTGGGAATGGTACAATCGTGTGTGGCACGTGCAGGTAAACGATCTGAGTAACATCATGCCACAGAACCCGGGGTCCGAGGGCTCCTCAGGAGCTTGGGGATCACTGGGAATGGGCAGCTTTCCAAGCACCAGGCCAGCTGATGGCTGTACTGGCATTCGTGGTGATGCTGGGACAGTCTTTGTGCACAGGGACCATGAAATCCACAAAGTGTGAGGCACAGACACTTACTTCAGTCAATCTAATGTGCCCACTTCTTTTCTTCCCTTGAGAACTTTTAGCAGGTTGGTTTTATTTTCAGTGACTGGGGAATGTCACAGTGACAGGACACAGTTAATGGGCCAAGTTCTGCCTGTCAGGATGTCCTGTAGGGGTCAAGGGATAGCAAACAGATCAAAGCCGATTACCTAGCAAATAAACAAAAATGCAAACTAAGCCTAAAATACTAGAAAGACTGGATATGAATTAGCAAATTCTCACCCTGGCTGATGATACAAGCAGGTTGGCAGATTCTTAAGGCCCAAGCTGACTTTGCTTTGCAGCTTGGAATCCCCAGGTGTTTCATACACAGACGAGAAATCCCTTTAGCCTGGGTCCAGCACTTCCCCCACTTCAGTCTTTGTTCCTCAGATGTTTCCAGGAGTCTTCTTGTGTAGGAAGTGAAAATCAACCGAGGATGTCACTCCCTGCCTTACAGAGCTTTAGCATATGGCGGGAACCCTTTGTCCCAAATTCAGTTTGTGGAAAAACACTGACATCCCAACATGGAGTCAGAGTCCTGTGGCCTCGTCACATGCCCTTGCATACCTTGCTGAGTCATAGCATCCGTTAGTTACAGGCTATCGGGAGTGTTCAAACAGGAGGGTTAAGTTCTTCCAGGGTCCATTGTCTTTGCTGATGAGCCATCAGCACTGTCTGGCTTCTTCTTTGTTGTACCAGAAAGGCTAATTGTGGGTGTCACCCAGAGTAAGCAGGATTGAAATACAGATCCATAGTCAATATTCCTAACTTTAGATACAAAAGTGATACATGCATAGAAACAGGATAATCATATTCAGCAAATCATAACTTTTCCAATGACACCTCACATGACCCATCTTGCACAAAATGTATCATAATTATGCCATAATCATATCATAATTATATCACTATGAAGAATACGGGGTGCCGTGGTCACAGGGATGAACAATGGAAAACCAAGGGGGCTTCAGGGGCTCAGCATCTCTGGGAACCTTGGCACAAGCTGTTTGTGTTGCTGTGGATGGTCTGACCAAGGTCATGGTTTCCATCCCGTTCCACCTGCCTCTGACCCTGATTTCTGGGTTCCTCTCCTCTCACACCAGGTGCAAGCCAAGCCACACTGGGAAGAACTGCGAGTGCGAAACAAAAGGCAAAACCAGCAAGGAGCTGGAAGGGAGCTGTCGGAAGGACAATGCCTCAGTCATCTGCTCGGGCCTGGGGGACTGCGTGTGTGGGCAGTGCACCTGCCACACCAGCGACACGCCCAACAAGCAGATCTACGGGACCTTCTGCGAGTGCGACAACATGAATTGCGAGGTCCATAATGGCCACTTGTGCGGCGGCGAAGGTGAGTGACGGCTCCGTGGTCTGACTCAGCCCCTTCCCTTCCTGTCCTATGGCCACTGTTCCAATGGCTACCTGCTCCAGGACACTGACTGCAGGCCCCTGCTGTGCACTCACACGTCAGTGAATTATTCTTAGCAGACCAACTCCTGAGTTAGACCCGGGCCTTATCCCAGAGAAACAGCCGGGTTAGTCTCACTCGGAGCCTCCGTACTAGCCTGCCGCGTGCCCTGGATCGCCATCTCGTGGAGCTGTAAAGGCAAGACAGCCCATTTCCCAGTGCTTTGCAAGCACAATCGCCTGACGGGAGTGCAGCGACGGCTGTGCGGGCAGCATGCTCCGTGTCCTGGGGCAGGCTAATATTGCAATGGGAACATCCTCCAAATGCTTCTTTCCACTCCACATGTTCCCTCACTGTCCTCACAAGTTCTCCACGAGGCCGTTCCTTAAACACCCAGGGCTTGGTGTGCTCGAACAAGGGATGTGTTGTGAGAAGCTAGCAAGAGAGCCCTAATGTCCGGCCTCTTTCTCTTCCCTCTGAACTTCCCACCCCCGCTGTGGCCCTGCGGGGACTAGCTAAATTGGAGTGCTCCACTGGAGAAGGAAGCCGCATGCTTCCAGGGTGTCCCGTAGTTATGCTGATACAGCCCACGCTACCCAGGTCACGAAGTGAGATGCCTTAGAAATGTGCCTGCTGCATGGTGGGAAGGAGGTGTGGAGCCCCTACCCGGAAGTCCATGTCACGCTAGGGTCCCGCAGGACCCTGCTTGGGAAGGTTTTCTGCCTCTGATACAGGTGGGCTGAGCCCTGCTGAGCGAATCAGTGCTTGCAGGTTAAGCCTTCTGATTCCAGGAAGGAAGGGCCCCTGGTGCAGGGCTTAAAATCAGCCAGAGCTGCCTGGAGCAGAGCTCTGATAAATATTTTCAAGCCCACAGGCCTGAAGCCCCAAGCTCTGCAACTCCCCACAGAGTGGAAACTCTGAGCCCCGACGCTGAAGCCCCAAGCCCCAGTGCACCCACAAAGCTGAAGCCCCAGGTGCCGGTGCGCCCCACCGAGCTGATGTCCCAAGCCCTGGCACATCCCGCGGGGCAGAAGCCCCGAGCCCTGGCGCTTCCCACGGAGCTGAAGCCCCAAGCTCTGGGGCTCCAGGAAATACTCTGGCAATTTAAGCCCTGCCCATTTAGAAGAAGGGACGAGTTCTGAGCCTGTCAGTGCTGAGACAGGTGAGGATGAAAATCCAGGCTGGCAAAGGCCAGGCTGGTGAAGGAATCCATATCTCTCACATGATCAGCCCCTAGATTCTTCTGTTACTGTAGAGGTTCATAGCTCCCGGTGGCCCCACCCAGACACCTGCCTACAGGATTTGTCCCAGAGCAGCTGTATTGACTCTAAAATCTCTGCTCGCCCCCCAGAGCGAGGGCGCTGCGACTGTGGGGAGTGCAAATGCAATGCTGGCTTCGAAGGCAGCGCTTGCCAGTGCAAGAAGTCTACCGACGGCTGCGTGAACATCCAGGGAAACGTGTGCAGCGGCCGTGGGTACTGCCAGTGCAATACATGCCAGTGTAAGCCAGGCTACCAGCCCCCGTTCTGTGAGGAATGCCCTGGCTGCCCTTCGCCGTGCGCCCGACACATGTAAGTGACCTGCGGAAGCGCCCGAGCCAGGCTTGTGTTCGGAAGCCTGGCTGCTCCCCGTGCTCTCGTCTCCCCTGGCCGGAGCAGGTGCCGGGAGCCCAGGGGCGCAGCGCGGGGGCAGTTCCTTCTCACATCGAAGGTGGCTGTTTCTGTTCTAGCCTGGAAAGCTTGGGCTAACGGCCACTTCGGCCCCACAGGTGTGGGGTGGAGGCAGAAGAACCTGCCTCTCCAGCTGCCCTTGGCCTGTGAGTGCCCCCAGCAACTCTGCCCCCCATGAGGCTTCTGTGGTCCGTGGAACCCCGGTCACAGACAGCCCCCTCCTCCCCGCCATCAGTCTGCCACGCCCTGCCCCTGTGTGTCTGATTCACTGCTAACCAGTCCCAAGCGTAAGGCCAGAAGGGAGCACCGGGTTGTCTGGTCTGACTCCCGCATGTCACTGGCCCGCAGCACCACCGGGCGCCCGCACACTGCACCCAGCAGCTCACGGACGACCACAGTGCGACAGCCCACAGGAGACGAGTCTCTAATGTGCCCCCGGCAGAGAACGGGGGGCCAAGGCACACCAGGTTCACACTGCTCTCTTCGGCTGTGTTGGTTCGTGAGGCAGCTGCTGGGTACGTGCGTTACACCCGGATAATCCTGGCCAGTGACGCACACGCCACGCTGTAGAGGAAGGCAAAGCCCCCAAGGTCACTGCCCGTCGGAGCTGGGGAATATTCCTTCCCACCCCACACACAGGTCCCTCCATCCCTGAGCTGCGGCCAGCCTATTGTCCGAGACATGCGCCTCCTTGTCTGTCTTCTAGCTCCTGTGTGGAGTGCAAGGCGTTTGAGAGCGGCCCGTTTCAGAAGAACTGCACAACCGCGTGTCTGAACATCGTCGAAAACGGTTTGTTGACAGGCGGCCGGCAGTGCCGGGAGAAGGACTCGGAGAATTGCTGGATTTCCTATCTTATGAGACAGGAGGATGGGGAGGACAAGTACTCCTTTCAAGTCAATGCCAAGAAAGGTACTGGAATCTCGACCCACACCCCTCTCTGTACTCCGTAAGGGGGGGCGGGTTTCGCTCCAGAGCCAGCCTGCCAAACCCAGAAGAGGTTACAGCGCCCCCTACAGGCGCAGCAGGAGGGGAATTTTCAAACAGAAAGAAAGTATGGGGGATTTTGCTTCATTCAAAATAACGATGCCACGAGAAACACGCCCCGTCCTTGCCGGTGGGGAGTCCCCTGCCCCCGTCCCAGAGCAGCGCCCCCCCATGGTGGGAGGGGAAGAAGGCTGTCACCCTGACAGAGAACATTCTGGAGGCGGGCATGGCTCGTGCTGGTACAGAGGAGCCCCCAGCCACAGCCAGCGCTGGGTCCCTCGGTGAGCGCAGACAGGCCTTGATGGCCCCTTCCCTTTCCTCCCGCCAGGTTCTGAATCCTCCTCCCTTCCTCCCCTGTTCTGTCTTTCCTGCCAAGTCCTGCTCCTCGCCGGACGCAAGCCACAATGCCCTCCCCTCCCGCCCCCGGAAAGCGGGTCAGGCAGTGCCGGCGGGGTGCTGCAGACAGGCCCCCAGAATGCCAGTGGGGTAACAGCAACCAGCCTGCAGATCTAGCAGCTGAATGGCTGCACCCTGCTGCCCGTGCCAGGCGCCTGGTGCTGTGGCTGCTGCCATGATTTGGCGGCGTACAGCGCACGGTAGCTGCCATAGAACGGCCCCCGTCAGGCTCGGTGTGTGGCCCGCTCTCATCACACACTGCTGGAGGCGGCAGATGCCCTTCCATGTCGCCAGCCTGCCTGCGGGCAGCAGGGCTGAACGCTCAGTCCCGTGAGGCGACTCCTGGGCTCTCTCTGATCCCCAGAGTGTCCGCAGCCCCCGAACATCGCTGCAATCGTGGGCGGCACCATCGCGGGCGTGGCCCTGATTGGGCTGCTGCTCCTGGTGATGTGGCGGCTGTTGATGGAGGTGTTCGACCGCAGGGAGTACAGCAGGTTCGAGAAGGAGAAGTTGAAGGCCAAGTGGAACGAGGTGAGCTGGCTCTGCCTTTCCCGTAGCACCCCACAGACAGCCGCCCTGCTCCGCCTGCCCTGCCTGATCCCCAGAGCTGGTTGGAGCCCTGCCAGCCTGACGGGTGTCTGTTCTTAGTTGTGGGGCGGCTGGCTCTGGGGAGGAGGCCTCAGGCCCTCTTGCAATCGTGCAGGTGTGGGAAATAACTGGGTACAGGCCACTGCCAAGTGGTTCCCTGGCTGGTGTCCTGTACCCTCCCCAAACACAGCACCAGGGCCAGCGGCTCCTTTACATCCCCAGGCTGGGGGTGTGGAGATAACAGACAGAGATGCTGAGGGGCTCTCCTGGTTTGGGTGCAAGATGGGGTGGACTTTCCCTTCTGCAGTGCGGGAGACATAGGGGGGCCCAGAGACTTACCCAAAGCAGGTTTATCTGGGGGCCCCTGGCTAGCTCAGATATCTCCCATTGGACTTTGCTGCTGCCACTCATGTCCAGGATTGGTCTCATGGCAGGAAGGAGGAAATGCCCATGCAGCCCTCACCTGAAATCATCAGCACATGGCTGGTGTGGGGGCCTGAAAAGTTAAAAGTTGCTGAAGTGAATTGTATCGCCTCTCCACTGGCTGCCCGCTCCCTCTGGGAGGGACAGCCACCTGGCCATGCCAGGCTCTTTACAGTCCAGAAGCTCACACCTGGGCCAATGCTTCTGCACCTGAGCGTGAGTATTGGAGGGCTGGAGCGGCGTGTCCGCCTCATGGCGCAGGAGCGATGGCTCACCTGTCACCACGCTGTGGGGAGAAAGCTCCCCGTGCCTGGGGGAGGACCACACGTGAGCAGCCCCTCTTCCCTCAGTTTGTAATGTTCGCTCGATCCGATCCTTAGCCAGCTGGGTGAACTGAGGCTCTGTTTCTGGACGATCCAGGCAGCACTCACAATGTACCTGTCTGGTATTTCTTCCCAGGGTGACAATCCCCTTTTCCAGAGTGCTACCACCACTGTCATGAACCCCAGATTCAATGGAGAATGACGTGGAGCTACCCTGCAAGCCTGGGAAGGCTCAACTGTTAAACCAAGAAATACCAAACTAAGGGCACCAGCATTTTATTCTCTAAGCAGAGATCTGCCGTACGCTGTTCCCTTCTTCCATGACGCTGCCAGTGACGGGCGGGCTTTGTCCGGCGGGCAGTGTTGTGCGGTCTCTTCTCCAGCAGTCTCTTCCCTCTGCGTGGCTCCTGCAAGCTGTGTTCATAGGGCTGTGAGAAGGCAGCCGTGCAAGCTTTGATTGGTGGGATTATTGTCAGTTTGCATTAGCGTGGGCGCCTGGAAAACAATCCCACCATCTGTCTTAACTCACGCTGCACATAGGTGCCATGCACTGGCACCAGTTGCTGTTAGAGCTTGAACCGAGCCTGCATTGTTACTCGTTTTCAACGTACAACCAGTATTGATCTTCGCTTGGCATTCTGCCAGAGGCCACCTTCTTTCTGGCCTAAAGCCCTCTGCTCAAAGGCTGCGGTCACTCCAATTCCCTGTCCAGCTGTGCTGTGCTCGGCTACGGGACTACTGCAGGTCTTGTCGAAAATGCTAAAATCATTCGGGGGTCAGGCCACGTGCTGGTCTCCGGAGCAGTAAACCTGCAGTGAGGAGGGCGGTGGCCATAGGGGTGGGTGGATCATAGAATATCAGGGTTGGAAGGGACCTCAGGAGGTCATCTAGTCCAACCCCCTGCTCGAAGCAGGACCAATTCCCAGTTAAATCATCCCAGCCAGGGCTTTGTCAAGCCTGACCGTAAAAACCTCTAAGGAAGGAGATTCTACCACCTCCCTAGGTAACGCATTCCAGTGTTTCACCACCCTCTTAGTGAAAAAGTTTTTTCCTAATATCCAATCTAAACCTCCCCCACTGCAACTTGAGACCATTACTCCTCGTTCTGTCATCTGCTACCACTGAGAACAGTCTAGAGCCATCCTCTTTGGAACCCCCTTTCAGGTAGTTGGAAGCAGCTATCAAATCCCCCCTCATTCTTCTCTTCTGCAGGCTAAACAATCCCAGCTCCCTCAGCCTCTCCTCATAACTCATGTGTTCCAGACCCCTAATCATTTTTGTTGCCCTTCGCTGGATTCTCCCCAATTTATCCACATCCTTCTTGGATGCTGGTGGCCGGAAAGAGGGAGCCGTCGGGGACGTGCCCCACAGCTTCCTAAATCATTGCCCTCTTGCTCGGACCCTTCGGAGTGGGCCTGCAGCCCTGGCTGCCCCGTAACCCTTGGGGTCTGAGCCTTCTCCGTGATGGGTTAGTGGCAAGGAAACAACTGTTCAGAAGCAGCAGTCAGATTTCCACGCTCACTTCATCCCCTCTCACAAGGCGTCTCCTCCCCTTGACAGCGCGCCAGTCGGACACACGCAGCCCAGGAGAAAGCGACAGGCGCATCCCGGGGCTTTCTCGGAGCTAGCTGGAAGTGGTGCATTGAATGACTAATTCTTGCTTCAGAAGGTCATGCCTCTAAAAGTCTGTATGACTCTAGAACGGGAGTGGGGGGTGGCTTTTTGGCCTGAGGGCCACATCGGGGTATGAAATTGTTTGGCAAGCCATGAATGCTAATGAAATTGGGGGTAGGGTTGCAGGAGGGGGTGAGGGCTCCGGCTGGGGGTGTGGGCTCTGGGGTGGGGCTGGGGATGAGGGGTTTGGGGTGCAGGAGGGGGCTGCAGGCTGGGACCAATAGATTCAGAGGGCGAGAGGGGGATCAGGGATGGGGCAGGTTGTTGGGGTACGAGGGGTGAGGGCTCTGGCTGGGGGTGCAGGGCTTGGGGTACAAAAGGGGGCTCTGGGCTGGGTTCGAGGGGTTTGGAGGGCAGGAGGGGGATCAGGGCTGGGGAAGGGGGTTGTGAAACCACTGGCTGGGAGTGCAGGCTCTGAGGTGGGGCTGGGGATGAGGGGTTTGGGGTGTAGGAGGGGGCTCTGGGCTGGGACTGAGGGGTTCAGAGGGGGATCAGGGCTGGGGCAGGGGATTGGGGCGGGGGGGGGGTCAGGGATACAGGCTCCAGGCAGCATGTACCACAAGCAGCTCCTGGGAGCATGTCGCCCCTTCGGCTCCGAGGCACGGCCAGGCGGCTCTGCACCATGCCCCGTCTGCAGGGGCCACCCCTGCAGTGCCCATTGGCCAGGAACCACAGCCAGTGGGAGCTGCGGCGGACGGGGCAGGGTGCAGAGCCGCCTGGCCGTGCCTCCACAAAGTACGTAGGAGCCGGAGAGGGGGGTCAGGCCGGCTGCTTCCTGGGCAGGGCCGGCTCTAGGTTTTTTGCCGCCCCCAAGCTGAGGTGGGGCTGGGGCTCGCAGGCGGCGCTGGAAGCGGCGGGAGTGGCGTCCCCTTCTCCCAGCGCCTGCGGGGGCTTCCCCCTTCCCCCGCCCGGCCGCGCAGAGAAGCCCCCAATATACGGGGTGGCACAAGGCAGCGCAGCAGCCAGGGCGCAGATGAGACGGCAGGACTCGCCCTCTCCTCCCCAGGTAGCGGCTGGGCCCTGGCAGCTCAGCATCCCGGGTCTGGGGCTTCCCCTTCCTGCTGTGGCCGGGGGCATGGCGCCCTCGCCCCGTCTCCGAGAGCGCCGCTGCCCCGAAAGAAAAGCGTGGCCGGAACGCCGCCCCTGGAAACATGCCGCCCGCAGCATGTGCTTGCTTTGCTAGTGCCTCATGCCAGTCCCGTTCCTGGGAGCTGAGGGCCAGATTAAATGGTCTGACGGGCCGGAGGTGGCCCGCGGGGGTGCCCCCCACCCCCCCCATTCTAGAACTTGCTTTATGTGTGAGAACAAGTTGCCTGTTGTAACATGTCACATCCCCACCCTGGTCTATTAATAAAAATACATCAAACCCGGCAGCTGGCCTGCAGTGCGTGATGGCGTCTGCTGGCTGCCGCCAGCCTCTCGAGGGAGCGAGCCAGATGAGCCCACCCCAGGTCACTTCACGTAGCTCTTCTGGATACGGGTACACCTGGTCAGAGGTGACGTGGGCTTCCCCTGTCCCTCCCCTTACTGAGCTAGACCCCCCTTAGGCCTGCTTCCCCACCCCCCGACCCGCGTCTGCCCATGTGCTGGAGTGGCTTGTGGCGGCAGGAAAAGCACCGCGGGGGTAACTGGACCTTCCTCCTCCTGCTCCGCTCCAGCCTGTGCGGACTCCAGTCAGCTCCCGCACACATCGGTGGAGCAGGCGCAGCCAGGGCCAAGGGACTCTGCCTAATACCGCCCCCTGACTTTGGCTCTAGAGCTCGGATACTCACGATGCCCCCAGCAACACATTGCACCCTGGACGGTCAAGTGATCTGGGCTCGCACTGTCAGTGGGGGTGGCAACCCCCGGGCAGCAGGCTTGAGGACCATGGGACTGACTGTGGGCAGTGGGTGGTTGTGGCAAAGCCGGGCTGCCCACAGCCTGAAGCCAGCAGGTGCTTGGAGCCAGGCTCCGGGTGTGGGACCACCCTCGTTTGAAGGCTGACGGATGGCATGCACAGCGTAGCGGAGCTGGGGGAGCCTCAGTTATTACCGCTTGGCTGCCCTGCGCGTGTCTTCCCCCCGACGCAGGAATCTCTGGGTCCCCCACAGAACCCCTCCTGGGGGCAGAACAGGTCGTGTGCACAATGCTGTAGTTACAAGCGCAGCTCGTGAGTTAATGTGGACTTAGGGACGGGAGCCTGCCCCTCTGCGCTGGGACGTCAGACTCCCAGGAAAGCCGAGGGGGCTGCTGCAGAGCTCCAAATGTCCCCGTTAGGGAGTGAGTGGGCCACGAAAGCTCCCGCGATGCCGAGGTGCAGCCAGACGCCCTCTCTGGGGCTGCAGCCAAAACCCACACAGGGAAACCCATCCCAGGCTCAGGCCACACACCACACACGGCTTAGACCTTTAGGCCCCAGTACAACGAGGTGTAAGTTTAAATACGTGGCCACGGCCCATGACATCATAACAGCTGTGCTTTGCTGAACTGGGGCCTTTAGCACCAAAGCCCTAGAAACAGCTCTGAGCACATATGAACAAAGCAGCCGCCCCTTTCTGCTCCCAGAAACTGGCCCCACCTCTCCCTAGGCGCAGCTGCCCCTTGCTAGGATCAAACTCACAAGACCCCAAGCCCCTCCCTACAGTCTGGCTTGGAGCAAACACCCAAGAGCAGCACCGGGGAGCGGGGTATATAATCGCGTGGGGCTCCAGTAGGGGGCACTGAGCGACCCATACCCCTTGCCACAGAGATCATGAGCCCAGAGAAACAAACCAACCAGACTAAGCTCAGTGCTGTCTCTCAGGAGAGCTACTCGCAAAGCAGTGCCTGGCCATTTATCTCCACCACCACTCCCATCCGCCTTTTCTGCTGGGCAGGGGCTGAAATGGGGCCGTGCTTTTCCAGCACATCCCTGGAATTTTCTACTGACAAGTTGTTTCTTTTTCAGAAAAAAAAAGGTTTTCAATTTTGAAAGAAGGAAGCTGTTTGAGTTTGCAAACTCGCAGCCTGAGATCTCACACTCAGTCCTTCTGCTCCCACTCCCAGGCCCACAGCGGGCATTAAGAGGGTGCAGTCTCGGGGTGGGGTGGCCGGTACTAATCCCGGTTTTGCATTTTACTCTCCCAGGCCTGGACATTCATAGCAGTGAGGTACAAAAGCTAGTAGCTAGCACGGTGGCACCAAATGACAATCCCAGGGAGCGATCGCTGTGCCTGAGTCCAAAACCAGTGCAAAGCACCCACGTTTCTGTGAACAACAACCAGCCAGGTTGTGCCAGTGACTAGGAGACCCCGCAAACAGGCCAGGCAGTGCTGAGCACTGGCTAGCTGCAGAAGCACCCACTGGCAAAATATGTCTGAATCACAAAGGTCCATCTTTTGGTTTCAAACAGCTTTTATTTGGGTAGACAAGGATGACAAAATAACAGGAGTTCACGGATTAAAAATCCCATGTGTTACATGAGCGCTTAGGCCTCATTTCAGCCAGTGTCTGACTTTAGGCACACGAGTAATCCCACTGAACTCAGTGGGACTCTCCACTTTGCCTAGAGTTAGCCACATGCCCAAGGCTCTTGCTGAATCACGGATAACCCTAGGTGGGTGTATCCTAGTGCTCCTCCTTCCAAACAGAGGGATGGGGTTGCAGGGAAATCCTTGAGTCCTGAACAAACTCAATAGCAGGAAAACTTTCCAGATGGAACCAGAACTGACCTGTTTCAGCGACAGTGATCTCTGATCAGGGAGCTGCCTGCCTGCAGACCGCCTTTCAATCTTACCAGGAGACCCGGTAAGCGCCAGTTTGAAAACCATGGAGTAGCTTTCTCTGCAGAAAGTCCTAATGGGAGTTTGGTCCCATCCCGAGTGGCCAGCAGCCTCCCCGTGGAGACACATGGCTTGCAGTGAGCGTGACTGTACTGAAGTCCGAGTCTGATGAGGTTCATTCGGGAACATCCTGCCAGACAGGGACTTCCTGACGCTCGGTCCATTTGCTCCAGGCACAGATGCTGTGGAACTGTCCACACTTGTCGACCAGCGTTTTCAGCTTCAAAATAACAAGCACGGCTCCCGCTTCATGGTTACAAACGCAGCCAACGGGGACCCCTGGCGAAATCTCGGCTTTAGCCCAAAATCAGCAGGCTGGTGGGTGACAAGCAACTCCCCAGAGGCCAACCCAGAGGCAGTGTTCAGGCCCAGGAGGGGAGCACTGGGCTAGCGAGTGGCTAGGAAGCAGGGATGCAGGTTGTGAGGTGCAGCGGCATTTCAAAGCGGCAAGGCAGCTCTCATCAGACAAGTACCAATGTGTGGCGCCTTGGAAGGATCTCAAAGCACTCTGCACTGCCTATGGCGACTCGGGGGGGGGGGGAGAAGGGTCACATGACCCTCCCCAAAACTCTAGGGAGGGGTGGCAGCCGGGGAGATGAAGGGGCAGGGCCAGAGCTGGAAGGGAAGAGGCAGGGCCAGAGCCTCTCCTCTTCCAGCCACGCTGCCTGGTGTGGGACAGCCCATAGAGAGCAGCCGCTGTGTGCAGCCCCACGGGCAGTGTCCCCGGCAGGCAGCGTGGCCGGAGGCTGCCCGGGAGAGAGCAGCCGCTGTGTGCCGCCCCACGGGCAGTGTCCCCGGCAAGCAGCGTGGCCGGAGGCTGCCCGGGAGAGAGCAGCCGCTGTGTGCAGCCCCACGGGCAGTGTCCCCGGCAGGCAACGTGGCCGGAGGCTGCCCGGGAGAGAGCAGCCGCTGTGTGCCGCCCCACGGGCAGTGTCCCCGGCAAGCAGCGTGGCCGGAGGCTGCCCCTGGGAGAGTGCGTTAGTGGCTCCACACATGCCAGGGGGACTGGAGCAGAGCCCCCCCTCCCTGCCAGGTAACGTGGGATGGGAGGAGATGGGGAGAGTGCAGGGCCCCCGGGCTGGGGGTAAGGTGGGGACAAGTCACATGGGGGGATCACGTGGGGAGCAGGGACGAGTCACTTGTGGGAGTCATTTGGGGAGGTTACGTGCCCCCCTTTAGCTGGTGCCCCCTTTGTGTCCCTCCCACTAGTCACCTCTCTGAGTTTACAGCCTAGGCCTTTGCCAGGTGTCCCCTCCACCGCTCCCCTGGCATTTATGCCAGTCGTGTTCCCGGTGGGAGACTTCCAGTTTCCTTGAGACGAAGTATCCAGCTCCACAGCTTTTCTGTGCAGGAGTCAGACTTACGGGATGCCCACTTTATGAGCAGGTAGCTGCCACCCAGGCCTGCTGCTGCCCCAATTATGAAGAGTCCTTTATTAATCACCTGCAAGTGTAAGGAGAAATTCAGCCTGGCTCAGAAGGTTTGTTTTGACCCGAGCAGAGAGAACACACCACTTTATAACACTCCCTCCTCGCCCCTGCCCTCGGACAGGGATTACACCTCCCCCAGGATGGAGCCTTTCCCACAGACTGGGGCACTCCAGAGGAAGGCTCGACTGCTAAGCCCAGGCCAGAAGCCCCCGTGTGATCAGGAAAAGGAGTTTGCTGAGAGGAGGGAAGTCAAGCCTGGCTGGCTAAGCATCAGCACAGGGCATTGCAGGCCGCTCCTCTGGTCAAGAGCAGCATCTCCAGCCACACAGCTGCCAGTGGCGACATCTCAGGGGACTTGTCTTCACTCCGAAAAAGGGGCGTCCTTCGCTCAGGTTAGCTGACAGGACGGAAAGTCCTAGTGGGGACAGGGCAGTTTGTGGTGTTCACCTGTTAGCAGGTTGAAGGAAACCCTGAGCTCCCCATGGTTAAGTCAAGCTGGGGAAGGTTAGGGTTTGCCTCAACCCACTAAATCCTGTGAAAACCACACACCACCTTGTCTTCACCAGGGCTTCCCTCACCTAGGATAACGTGAGCAAAGACACACCTTCCTTCCTCCCCAGTGGGGACGCACTGATACAGGAAGGGCTTGCTGCTCTCGGAAGCTCCTGTGGGGTTTTGAGATGGGGCACTCACCCCACACTGGCCCTGGAAGGGCTAAGGCAGGTTGAGAAGGGGGCTAATTAACCCAACAGGCCACAGCTGGGGGAGAATCAGGTGGCCCCGCACCCCCTGCCCCTCCGGCTGAGGGTGGGCTGGGTTTGGAAAGGCAGGAAGGTGATAGCAGAGGGGGCTGCTGGGAAAGGCCGCAGTCACGCCTGGGAGAGGGAGGAGGGTCTGGAGGCTGTGGAGACAGGCAGTTGCTCCCCGGGAGGAGGGAGTGGGGGGGCGGGCGGGTGGCAGATGGTAGAAGAGGGCTCAGGGAAAGGCCGTGAGGTCCCGGAGGGACCAGACCTTGGCTGCTGAGCCAGAACCCGGAGCAGAGGGCAGGCCCAGGTTCCTGGCCAGGCACTGAGGTGTGGCCCCAGGGGGCAGTGAATGGGGAGACGGCCTGAGGCTGCTCGGGAGTGAGGCTCTGGTGCCCTGGAAGGGGACAACGCGTATGGGGAGCTGGCCGGAGGCTGAGTCACAGAGAGGCAGCAGCAGCTTGTGGAGCAAGAGTGGGCTGCATGCTGGCAGAGAGAGACAGAGCGATGGCCTGCAACCGCAGGAAGGGGCGTTGACCCGGCCAGCTGTTCCACAGAGTGGCCAGGGGGAGGCGCCATCCTGGCGGTGAGCGGAGCCCCCTGTCACAGGTATTCTCCAGGGCTGGCAGATGCTAGCCACGCCGGTCACTTTGAGTAACTAGCCGGAAAGGATTTTGTCAGACAGGCCACCTACGCTCGGCCCAATGACTGGCCATGGGCGGCACTGGTTGCAGGAGGCTAAGCCCCAGTCCTGCCCCTTCCACCTGGGGCCCTGCCCCTTCCATGCACCCGGAACCCAGAGCACCCCCCACTGCGGCCGCCAGCCCCTGCCCTAGGCTGGCTAGTGCCCACAGGCCCCCCCCCCCCCCGGAGCGCCGAAGCAGGGCCCTGGGGGCAGAGTGTGGGCAGGGCCAGGCCGGGCAGTTTGGGGAGGCACAGCCTCCCCTACCCACCGCCCATATGACTGGCCTAAGTTCAGGCCAGGGCATCCGATTCCCAAGCCAGGCAAAAGCACCCTGTGTGCTGGAGGAGGTGTGCCGGCTGGACAGGTGTCTTTTGGGGGCATGCTTATGATAAAGTCAGACAAGGGGGACTGGGCTGAAAAGGCTGCATGCTAAAGGCCTGTATTCATGCTGGCACATGGGGCTTAAACCCACAGCTACCATAGCACCAAGAGGACACCCAGGGAGTCATACCAGATGGAAGTTTCCAGCCTGTCATTTGCTCTTTCCCAGCAAGAGGAAGAGCCACCATGTACAAATCAATGGTGTGGAGAGCTGAAGCATGCCACCTCCCCAGGGCTTTCGCACTGTCCGTCCCTCACCCCACCCACTCAGCTGTTCTGCCTGAACATCCATTCACGTAAAAAGACATGAGAATCTCCGTATCTGAAGGGCTCTTTGGCATTGTACTCAATTGTCCTCACTTGCTAGTATAACCCCCCCCCCTTGTCACCAGGACTTTCAACACCACTAGCGCAGACCAGCTGAGCTAAAGGAGCACCTCCATTAGTTAGCAGCAGTAGTAGACTGTTATCCACTAGTGCACTAGTTACTGGCGGGGGACATGATGCACACAGTACAAATGTGCTACACTGAGCCATGGGGAGACGCTGCAGGGAGCAGAGCTGGAATGGGGCCGAACCAGCGTCTGCTCCTTGCAGGAACCTGGGGCAAGACACGGGCTCTCTGTGCAGAGTGGCACACCTCCTTGCATTAGGGTTATGGAAAATGGCCAATCAGCAGCCTGGGGAATAGCCCGCCGAGACAGGAGCACCACCGTGCCGCTCGCTCAGGAAGCACTGAGCCCCTGGCCCCTACTTACTCACTTTCAGCTCTGGCAATGCAGATTCACAGCCAGCGTGTCGTGAGCCAAGGGCAAGCAGTGTGGCACAGCCAGAAGGGGCTGTGAAAAGTACCTACCAGTAGCAGGGACCCTAGCACACCTGCTTCTATCATCTGAGGAGGGCAAAGGGGGAGGGCAGGAGATGCTCTGGACATCTGGGTCAGTGGAAATCGGCTCCAGTTCCCACTCACCTTGTTCTGCCATTTCCAGCGCTGCAGCGCCTCATGGTAACGGATTCTAGTGAACGTGACCTGCACCAGATTGCAAAGGCTGTTAGTCCTTCGGGGTGACCAGAGACAGCCTGGGGAGGGGAGAGCAGGCAGGGGACAGAAAAGCAGGTCTTACCATTGTGTATAACGGGATAACGGTGGAGGGCATGAGCCGGTGAAGAAAGTTGTCCACGTACTTGCGGAAAATGAACCACTTGGAATTAACATGTGCCCGCATCTGGAACAAGGCGCGGAGTTTAAAAGGTGGGGTGTTTGCGGGGACCTTTCCCCTCGTGCTGTGGCTACTTGCTCTCATCCTTTTCAGCCACTCAGTGCTCTCACTTCCTACCACTAAGGCTAGGACCACCTACTGTCCAGGGGATTGGCACTCGGTCTGAGTACCCTGGATAGCCGAGCCTGGGCGTGAGCATCCCCACAGGAAAGCCTGACCTGGGTTACTGTGGCCTCACCATTTCTGCACCTGCCTGTGTGTGTCTGAGGGCATATCCCACGATTCTTTGTGCTGAGACGCACTAGGAGTCTTGCCTTGGCAACTGCAGAAAACGTGGTCTGTGCTGTGGGGGCTTGTGGGAAGGCCTGGGAGCCCAGCAGCACTGGAGTGATGTAGCCTGTGTCCTCGCTGCAAAGTGGTGGGTTCTAGCCTGAGTTAAAGCAGCGCTTGGCTCTAAGCCCCTGCCCTCAGCCAGGCCCGGTAGCTGGTGGGAACCACCTCCCAACCCAGGTCAGAGGTTTTGCTGGGGTTAAGGCTAAAAGCCAGGGAAGAAGCCAGGCTAACCGTGTAGTGTAGACACCAGTCTCCCACTGTATTAGCAATTTGCAGCGGGGTCAATTTAAAGGCCCTCTTAGGCCCAGGTCTCTCTGTGCTCTGCCACAAACAGATACAGAGTGGGGCAAAGTGCCTGACAAATCATGAAGCCAAAACAATGCACAGCAATCGGCACAGATGAGAGGCAGCATGGCCCAGTGGGCAGAGAACTGGCATGGGAGTCAGGAGAGCTGGGTAGCCACAGACAAGCCTCTTCCCTGGCTGTACCTCTATTCCCACTCCCAGCCTGTGTCTGTCTTGTCTACACAGGCAAGTTTTACCAGTTAGATCAGTATAATTAGAGTTACCCCAGTATAAACCCACCCGCACCTCCTCCAGCGAGGACTCCTTAGGCCAGAATAAAAACGTCTTTTTTTTTAAATTTATTTAGCTTAAACGCCTTCCAAAGAGACATCATCTAAACTGAAAAAAGCACCTTCTATACAAGACTAAAAGGGTCCCCCTGGGAGAGGGGGATTGGACCAATACAGCTCGAGTGCTTTAAATTCACATCTTCGCTTCGACTGGCAGAACATGCCCATGGTGCCTAGCCCGTAGCCTGCAAGCTCTTCAGAGCAGGGCCTTTCCCTCTGGGTGCATACAGCACTGGGCCCAACCAGATCAGCCTCTCGAGTGGGACATCTGGGTGCCACAGGAATCCAGAGGCCAGACCGAGAGGAGGAGCCGGGAACTCAGAGCAGCACATTTGACATCTCTGTTTACATTAGTTAGCAGGGCTGGTCTCCACACAGGCCAGGCACTGACGGAACAAAAGGTGTGACGATTTGTGGCACTTGTACAGCCAAACATTCAGAAAGTGGTGTAAGGGAGTAACTCCAATTTGTGTGTGTGGGTGCTGGAGAGTAACTGATCACACCCCTGCCTCTCCGATCCTGCCCTCAGGCCCTCGCAGTGGGGGGTGGGGGAGGAGGGATTTGCCCTCCTGATCCGGTAATACGCAGTTCTGGAGAGAGGAAGGGATGGCTGCTGTCTGTAGCCAAGCTTCGAGTTCTGGGCATGACCCAAAGCATCTCAGCGCTCTGGAAATCTGCCCCCCCCCAACCCCTGCGCCCCTACCAGCCCCTTCCTGCACAGCTGGGGAAAGGCTGCTCTTATCAGAACCATATAACTGCAACAAAATACAGACACGAGACATCTCTCTGACTACACTAAGGGCACAGCAGACCTGCCACTTAAAACAGCATGTGCACGGGGCCGGATTTCCAATTAGGCACAGGCCTAGGAGCACCGGCGTTCTAGGGACGCCTAAGAGTTAAAAGTGAGTTAAAAGTTTACAGAAGTTTACAGAAAACACAAGGTCGGCTGTCGGCGGGGGGTGGGGGGGGGAGGCGCTGATGATGCTGTGCCTAGGGGCGTGTAAGGTGTCAATCCGGCCCTGCCTGGGTGCGTGCGCACCCACATTTCAGCACAACTGGCCAGCTTCCTAAAACAGCTCCTCTTCTTCCCCGCAGGGCTTTGCCTGAGCCCAGGACTGCTCACTGGCATCTAGCGCTCGCAGGCCCCCCCGCGGCAGGGGAAGATCCGTGCCACGTGTAGAGCATCTGCACGCCCTGCTCGGCTGTCTTACCTCTATGTAGTTGTACATGGCTAGATCGGAAATGGCATGGTCGTCGGGCACTCGCAGCTGGGAGAACTTGGGCAGGCAGGCACCTGGGGAAGAGGGAGCAGTTCCATACCAGTTAGGCTGCAGTCTGCTCCCTGGCTCTGCCTTCTGTCCTGGTCCCTCTCCCAGCTCCTCCAAGCCAGGGAGTGGGGCGTTCCATGGTGCATCCACTTCTCCCCAGGGCACACGGCACGACTGCCCATCACTCGACTGAGCCTGCCTCTCAGGAGGTGGCTAGACCGAATGCCAGCCAAAGGAGGGTAGCTTCTGGGACTGCAGCCCAACAGCTGGATGAGCTCCAGCCTCTGCAGACTGTCCGCTCCGTGAGCCCTGTGGGCACTGGCTCATCCCCAGTTGCGAGCACCGTGCAGTTCCCAAAGGCTAACGGGGAGCTGCTGTGGTGCTGTGCTGGTGGTGGGGAGGGTTTCTGGCTGCTGGGTCCCAGGGCTGGCACCAAGCTCTTCTCTCTGAAATGAGTCTTGTCTGGCCCTGTCTCCCCATCCCCCAGCCTGTCTTCTTGTCCTGCCTCGCTTGACTTGCTTCCTGCACCATCCAACGGGCCACGCATGAGCACAGGGGATACGGGGCATGTCGGTGTCGCAGGCAATGCAGAGTGGCTTCAAGGAAGGCATGCTGCTGTCAGCCCATCGGGGCAAGGGGAAGAGGCGATAGGAGTGAGGGGAGAGGTGCCTGGGGAAGGCTGAAGAGGGGTGGGCTTTGGCACATCTAGTGCCATGTGCCATTCAGACAACAGAGGAACATCAGAATGGCCATAATGGATCAGACCAAAGGTCCATCTAGCCCAGTATCCTGTATTCTGACAGTGGCCAATACCAGGTGCTTTAGAGGGAATGAAAAGAACAGGTTCTCGTCAAGTGATCCATCCCCTATCTCCCATTCCCAGCTTCTGGCAAACAGAGGCTAGGGGCACCATCCCTGCCCATTCCAGCTAGTAGCCATTGGACCTATCCTCCATGAACTTATCTAATTATTTTGAACCCCTGTTATAGTCTTGGCCTTCACAACATCCTCTGGCAAGGAGTTCCACATAGTCTTTTTGATGTCTCCTCATGTGGAAGCTGTTTCATCCCCCTAATCATTTTTGTTGCCCTTCTCTGTAACTTTTCCAATTCCAAGATATCATTTTTGAGATGGGGCGACTAGAACTACATGCAGTATTCAAGATGTGGGTGTACCATGGATTTCTATGATATTTTCTGTCTTATTATCTACCCCTTTCCTAATGGAGCCTCACATTCTGTAGGCTTTTTTGCCTGTCATGGCACATTGAGCGGTTGTTTTCAGAGATCTATCCATGATGACTCCAAGATCCCTGTGACACGGGCTCATGATCTGCCCTGTGTTCCTAGTTCCTGCACTAGGATCACTCCTCTGGAAGCCTGTGGAGGCCAAGGCATGTTGAGAGACGGAAGTGGAAACAGAAATGACTGGGTAGTATCTGAGTGCCCTTGGTTCTTTTCCTTCTTGTTGTGTGAGATTCTCAGTGTGGTGGGGGTTCCCCACTCTCCCGAACGCCCACCCCTAGCCGTGGGGTGGAGACCCGCTCAGCCTGTGGGGAGGTAGAAATTCACCCAGGGATCACTGTAAGGTGCAGATCTATCCCACCGCCATTCTCAGCACAGAGAGACCCACAGCGTGGGCGAATGGGCAAAGGGAGTGAGAGTATAATGCAACAAACCCAAAATGCTTTCCAAACCCCTGGTGCTGAAGCTCATGAGCAGACAGTGGCCAGGACTCGACTAGATGGGGTTAGATGAGGTGACCCTTGTGGTCCCTAGGACTGCCCCTTCCTGGGGATAATCAGATACCATGGGAGACTCCTGGCCAAATGTTTAATTCCTGACTGTCCCTCACAATAAGCGTCCCCCTTGATCTCCTGGGTAGGTCAGGGGCCATCTCTGGGAGCACCCATTTGGTGACTGATGTCAGATGAAACTGCCCAGAGTTCCCACCCAGGTCTGTTTTCCATGCCCAGGGATTTACTCACTGAGATCATTGTGGAACTGGTCCATTAACTCATCGAAGACCAGGCAGTCTTCAAATCCCTGGAAGACACAATAAAGGGAAAATAGCTGGCAGCAAAAGCCTTATTGCTCCTAAGCTGGGGTTGACACGCAGGGGGCAGGGAGAAACACTGGCCTGGGCTAGACCAGCTGCCCTGTCTAAACAGGGTTAGTGGCTGCTCAGGGTATGTCTACAGAGCAAAAAAATCAAAACACGGCAGCGAGTCTCAGAGCCTGGTCTACTGACTTAGGCTCACGGGGCTTCTGCTGCAGGGTTAAAAATAGCAGTGTAGACATGTGGGCTTGGGCCGGAGCCCAGGGCCTGAAACCCGACCCTGGACTCCAGCCCCAGGCCAGATGTCTACACTATTCTTTCTAGCCCCCAGTGCAAGCCTCACGAGCCTGAGTCAGCTAGCCTGGGCTCTAAGACGCATGGCTGCAGTTTTGAGGGGAGGTGGGGGCTGGCTGCGTCGAGGTACCTTTAATGGCCTGGGGCAGCAGCAGGTGCCTCTGAACCTGATCTCTGGCTGGACCCTCCCTTTCTCAGGGGAGGGGGGACGAGCCTGGCTCCAAAGGAGGTTGATGCCAATGCAGGGTGCTGCAGGACCAGTAGGGATGAGCTGATGCATCCCCTACACCCTGGGCAGGAAAGAGAGGTCAAGAAAATCCTCCCTAAACCTTTTGGGGGGAAGAGAACCAGCCCTGCCCTCCTGGAGAGAATCCCAGCCACAGTGACAGCACCTGCTCCCCGTCCTTTGGCCAGGGGAGGGGGAAGAACCAAGAGAAGGTTGAGGATATGGGGCAAGGCAAAGAGAGAGCTGGGGCACCTAGGACCCAGGGGTGGAGGAAGAAAGCGAGGGCAGCTCTGGAAGTGAGAGAGATGCCAGCGAGAGACTCAACTACTTTTCCCTATACAAACCCCACTGTGTTAAGGCTGGTCTCTGGGTCGCACTGGAAAGTCGGGACCAGGCACGCTGAAGTCTGGCCGAGCAGCCCTGACCTTGTCCCTGGTGCGGATGTGTTCCAGGACAGGGATTACTGCACTATTTCCCCCAGAGTTGCTAAGCACCCACAACGCCCATTAGCTGCAGTGAGAGCTGTGGATGCTCAGCACCTTTGCAAATCAAGCCCCTTGTACTGTGGTCCCTACTGTGAGGGAGCCGAATCTGAGACGTTAATCTCTGTGCTTCAGTTTCCGCAGAGGTAGACAGCAGGGGTAGCCCATCTACTGCCCAAAGTGACAGTGACGTAGTTAAGGGCTAAACAGCAAGATAACTCTGGGGAAGGTCCAAAGAATCACCCCATTATGGGCCCCCCCCAACGCCTCCGCTCAGCGCTCTGTTAGGGGTGTGTTCTTGGTGGACAGAAGTCCCTTACAGTGGGGGGGGCATGTGGCACACAACTGTGGGGCGGACCCACTCAAAAATGCTAAGGCTGGCTCTGGTGTGGGGCTCTCAAATACTAGCAGCCAGTGGAAACAATCCAGCTCGCTCTGGGCACTGACGAAGGAAGCACACCCGGGAAGTACAGCCATCACCTTCTCCGCCACCAGGAAATCACAACGGTGCAGTGAGAAGAGACGGCAGCAAACTGTGCGAGGCATTTCTCCGGCTGCACACAGGCTTTGAAGCTTCTGAATAGACTTACGAAGTTTGAACCAAGCAAAGACCCCGATGAGCTAAGAGAGACTCCATGCTTTGAACCAGTACCAGCAGCAAAACAGTTACTGGGCTGTGCACCCATCTGGTGTCCCAGTGTTTGTGACCGTGAGCAATCAGTACCCCAGCTACGCCCCAAAATGGAGCAGAGAAAGCGATTTTGGTGCAAACTTAAAAGGGGGTTATTTCCCCTAACGCCAGAGCTGTGATCTCCAGCCCTGCTGCACAGAGCCATCCAGAAGCACAGGGAGTGTATGGGTGTGAAGGGAAATACAACTCCGAAGGGACTCAGGAGAGCCTGCAGCCGTAGGCCTGACTCCGCGGGTGCTCCGGGGCTGGAGCACCCACAGGAAACCAGAACCACCCCCTTCCCCCAGCGCCTCCTGCCCGGCGTTGGGCCGCACCGATCAGCGCCTCCCCCTCCCTCCCAGCATCTACTGCCTGCCATGGATCAGCTCGGCGCCTAGGCCTGCAGCCCTGGGTTTGGAGAGCTCAGTTCTCCCTGCCCTTGCGGGTCCCAAGAGCCTCTCCCCATCGGACACTCCTACAGTCGGGAGAAGGAGCCATTTACCCAGGGAGGCTCTTCCTCTTTTCCCACAAAGAGGCCACCAAGCGCCAGCTCTGTAACTCTCCTGTTTTTAAGGGGCAGAAGGGTTCCAGCACCAGGCTGTAAGAACAGGGCTCACAGGCAACTCCCTGGGGCCTCTCCCTCCTCTCAGAGCCAGTGCCCAGCTCAAGCGGTGGGGAAGCCAGGTCCTCACTGGAGCACCTTTCCTGGAAACCCACCCACAATCACCCCCCACTCTCCCAGTGGGCTGTTGGCCCAAGCCCTGCAGGGGGCTGGGCTGCGGAGGTGTCATGCTGGAGAAGAGGTGCTCAGGGATAAGCAGGATCCAGCCTGCTTAGAATCATAGAATATCAGGATTGGAAGGGACCTCAGGAGGTCATCTAGTCCAAACCCCTGCTCAAAAGCAGGACCCATCCCCAATTAAATCATCCCAGCCAGGGCTTTGTCAAGTCTGATCTTAAAAACTTCTAAGGAAGGAGATTCCGCCACCTCCCTAGGTAACGCATTCCAGTGTTTCACCACCCTCCTAGTGAAAAAGTTTTTCCTAATATCCAACCTGAACCTCCCCCACTGCAGCTTGAGACCATTACTCCTCGTTCTGTCATCTGCTACCATTGAGAACAGTCTAGAGCCATCCTCTCTGGAACCCCCTTTCAGGTAGTTGAAAGCAGCTATCAAATCCCCCCTCATTCTTCTCTTCTGCAGGCTAAACAATCCCAGCTCCCTCAGCCTCTCCTCATAACTCATGTGTTCCAGACTCCTAATCATTTTGGTTGCCCTTCGCTGGACTCTCTCCAATTTATCCACATCCTTCTTGTAGTGTGGGGCCCAAAACTGGACACAGGACTCCAGATGAGGCCTCACCAGTGTCGAATAGAGGGGAACGATCACATCCCTCGATCTGCTCGCTATGCCCCTACTTATACATCCCAAAATGCCATTGGCCTTCTTGGCAACAAGGGCACACTGCTGACTCATATCCAGCTTCTCGTCCACTGTCACCCCTAGGTCCTTTTCCGCAGAACTGCTGCCTAGCCATTCGGTCCCAAGTCTGTAGCTGTGCATTGGGTTCTTCCGTCCTAAGTGCAGGACCCTGCACTTATCCTTATTGAACCTCATCAGATTTCTTTTGGCCCAATCCTCCAATTTGTCTAGGTCCCTCTGTATCCTATCCCTGCCCTCCAGCGTATCTACCTCTCCTCCCAGTTTAGTATCATCCCCAAATTTGCTGAGAGTGCAATCCACACCATCCTCCAGATCATTTATGAAGATATTGAACAAAACCGGCCCCAGGACCGACCCCTGGGGCACTCCACTTGATACCGGCTGCCAACTAGACATGGAGCCATTGATCACTACCCGTTGAGCCCGACAATCTAGCCAGCTTTCTATCCACCTTGTAGTGCATTCATCCAGCCCATACTTCCTTAACTTGCTGACAAGAATACTGTGGGAGACCGTGTCAAAAGCTTTGCTAAAGCTTGTCAGGCTTTAAAGATGGACACCAAGAAGGTCACTAAGGTCACTAGTGCACGGAGCAGCGGGGTAGGTGATGTCAGGGAGCAACACCCCTGAGCACACAGGCAGCTCCTCTTTGCTCCACCTGCAGCTCCCAAGGGACCTGAGCGCATAGCCGTAGCCCCCGAGGACCCAGGCTGGAGCCGTGCAATGCAGACAGGTGACAGATGGCAGTTTCCTGCAACTCCCGGACAGATAGTGCTGAACGAAGTTCAACTTTACTGAATGAAGTTTACACACCATTGTGGGCCAGAGATTGTATGTAATTCTCTGGGGGAGGGGGATCACAGCCCTCCCGGGACTAAGCACAGCGAGGGGGGTTAGGAAAATTCACTCAGGTTGTCAAACCTCCACAGAGCTCCCACCGCCTGGAGGGAGACTCACATAGACTGGTTCAGACTGGATTCTCCAGGGACCAACAGGCAGAGAAAGGACTTTCAGTTAAATAGCCTGAGTTAAAACTGACTCTGATCATAGAATCATAGAAGATTTGGGTTGGAAGAGACTTCAGGAGGTCATCTAGTCCAACCCCTTGCTCAAAGCAGGACCAATCCCCAACCAAATCATCCCAGCCAGGGCTTTGTCAAGCCTGACCTTAAAAACTTCTAAGGAAGGAGATTCCACCACCTCCCTAGGTAACGCATTCCAGTGCTTCGCCACCCTCTTAGTAAAAAAGTTTTTCCTAATATCCAACCTAGACCTCCCCCACTGCAACTTGAGACCACTACTCCTCGTTCTGTCATTTGCTACTACTGAGAACAGCCTAGATCCATCCTCTTTGGAATTCCCTTTCAGGTAGTTGAAAGCAGTTATCAAATCCCCCCTCATCCTTCTCTTCTGCAGACTAAACAATCCCAGTTCCCTCAGCCTCTCCTCATAAGTCATGTGTTCCAGTCCCCTAATCATTTTTGTTGCCCTCCACTGGATGCTTTCCAATTTTTTCACATCTTTCTTGTAGTGTGGGGCCCAAAACTGGACACAGTACTCCAGATGAGGCCTCACCAATAGAGGGGAACAATCTTGATTGTTCCCAGCTTCTCATCCACTGTAATCCCCAGGTCCTTTTCTGCAGAACTGCTGCTTAGCCAGTTGGTCCCCAGCCTGTAGCAGTGCCTGGGATTCGTCCATGCAAACAGACAAGATCTCTGGCCCAAAGTGGGTCCCAATCCTTGGGGAAGGGTAGGAAGGACTTTGGCCCCATAAAACTGGGTGTTCTGGTTCTGAGCAGAAGGCGCTATGAACTTGTAACCACAGGAAAACCCCTGGGGAGGTAGGAAGGACTGTCCACCAGCCAGGACCCTTGTTGGAATCAGGGGGTGATCTCTAGTGGCTTATTACCATGTGTGTAGGGCTTCTATTGTTTTAATTTTCTCTGTAAGGCTTTTACCTTAAGAATAAATGTGCTTGCTTAGAAAGAGCTGTGTGGTAACTGAACTGGGGCCATAACACTATTTACCACCTCTGAAGAGAAAAGTAAGGAGAATTCACAATGTAGGTAGGGAGCAGGCAACCTGGAAATACCCGGCTCAGGAGGGAGAGAGGCACCGGTCTTCATGAAAGAGAGGCAACAGCAGATGTCTAAGAGTGGGTGTTCTGGATGCCTCAGAAGGGAAATTCAGGTGCAGTTGCCCTACACTGTGACAGTCTACCTGAAAAGGGAAGATGCAGCCTTCTGGCCTGAGCATGCATGATCAAATGCATTTCCCTACACCGCTATCCCGACATCCAGCAGCAGCTGAAGATACAGGTGCCTCACTCTGAAGACTTAGTGACTCTGCAGGGAGCAGAAAGAACCAACACACTTCATAGAGGTCCCTCAGCCTATCAGGGCATCTCAGTCTTGTGTGGATCCAGACCCAGTCAACTCCTCCTCCTCCTCCAAGCCTCAAACCCGGCAAGACCCAGGGCCAGCCAATCAATTGTGTAAGCAAATGGAACCAACTGGAGCTAAATGTCTGAACTCAAAAGAAGTGGCTTTTTGGTCACAAATTATGCAGGACGTTAGGAACAGCAAACTCACAGCGTTCATGCCTTGTCCATAGAATGGTACCACGGCGTGGGCGGCGTCTCCCATCAGCACACACCGGGAGGTGATGTGGTATGAAGAGCACTTCACAGAGATCATGGCCTGGGGTGGCAGCAAAAAGTAATCACGCTGCAGCTCTTGCCTTCAGCCAAAACAATAGAAAGTTTGCATGAAATGTGTGATGTCATCATTGGAGACGAGAGAATCAGTCATCGATGTAATACGTAATGTGCCAGGATGCGAAATCAAACCTTTACATTGGGGTACTTGTGCTCAAAGTTGTGGGAAACCTGAACAGCTAGATCATTAACTTCAACCCAGGGGATTAAGCAGCCGCATGCCGCAGAATGTAATGGTAATTTAATGGAGGCAGACATTTGCTGTTCCCCATCAGGTAGTATATTACTATACAGCTAGATATTCGTATTTAACACTATCCCTCATGTTTGTGGTCCTGCTTACACTGCATCTCTTTACAGCAGTGGTCTCCAACCTTTTTAAGCACAAGATCACTTTTTGAATTTAAGAGCAACTCAGGATCTACCCCCATTTCCCCAAGGCCCCGCCCCTTCCCTGAGGCCCTGCCCTGCTCACTCCATCCCCCCCTCCCTCGCTCTCCCCCACCCTCACTCTCACCGGGCTGGGGCAGGGGGTGCGGGCTCTGGGCTGGGGCCGAGGGGTTTGGAGTGTGGAGGGGGCTCCGGGCTCAGCCTGGGGCACAGGGTTGGGGTGCAGGAGGGGGTGAGGGGTGCGAGCTTTGGGAGGGAGTTTGGGTGCAGGAGGGGGCTCCAGGTTGGGGTGCAGGAGGGGATTTGGGATGCGGGCTCTGGGAGGGGGCTCAGGGCTGGGGCAGGAGGTTGGGGTGCAGGAGGGGGTGTGGGGTGCAGGAGGAGGTACTGGGGGTTGGGGTGCAGGAGGGGTGTGGGCTCTCGCCAGGTGGCACTTACCTGGGGCAGCTCCCGGGCAGCTCCCAGACAGTGCATTTATTAATATGTTGAATAGGACTGGTCCCAGTACAGACCCCTGGGGGACACCACTATTTATATTTCTTAATTCTGAAAACTGACCGTTTATTCCTATCCTTTGTTTCCTATCTTTTAACCAGTTACCGATCCATGAGAGGACCTTCCCTGTTATCCCATGACAGCTTACTTTGCTTAAGAGCCTTTGGTGAGCGATCTTGTCAAAGGCTTTCTGAAAATCTGAGTTCACTATATCCACTGAATCACCCTTGTGCACATTCTTGTTGATCCCCTCAAAAAATTCTAGTGGATTAGTGAGACATGATTTCACTTTACAAAAACCATGTTGAATTCTTCCCCAACAAATCGTGTTCATAGAATCATAGAAGATTTGGGTTGGAAGAGACCTCAGGAGGTCATCTAGTCCAACCCCCTGCTCAAAGCAGGACCAACCCCAACTAAATCATCCCAGCCAGGGCTTTGTCAAGCTGGGGCTTGAAAACCTCTAAGGAAGGAGATTCCACCATCTCCTTAGGTAACCCATTCCAGTGCTTCACCACCCTCCTAGTGAAACAATTTTTCCTAATATCCAACCTAGACCTCCCCCACTGGAACTTGAGACCATTGCTCCTTGTTCTGTCATCTGCCACCACTGAGAACAGTCTAGATACATCCTCTTTGGAACCCCCCTTCAGATAGTGGGGGGCTGCTGTTAGGATACAGATATTCAGGCCTGTCTCTAAAGGCCTAAGAATTTAGGTGTATTCTTATCACTTAGCTAGTTATAGAGGTACAAAACAAGAATCAAAATCACAGTCTGCCTGTTTATAGGCCTTCTCTCACTATGATAGTCTAAGGGCGTGTTCTTAGGCTAAGGTCTCTGGCTAAGCAGCAGAGGTAGCCATAAGCTGGGAAGTACATGGTCCCATCCTTACATTCCAAACTGGTCACACTGAAATAAGGTGCTATTGAGCTGTTAGGAATACAATCCTGTCCTGATAATGCCTATCACCTCCAGAGAAAGGGAAGAGCCTAGAAGATGTAAAAGTAAAAGTAAATGTAAAATGTAAAATGTAAATGTAAATGTAAAAGTAAACTTAGTTTGATAGCATCCTGTCTGGCAAGAACTCACTTACCAATAGCTGGGATGTAAAATCCTCATTTCTTTCTTGTTCTATCATTGTAGTCTCCACTTCCCTATTGTTTGTCTGTATAATCTCTGTCTGGTTCTGTGATTGTCTCTGTCTGCTGTATAATTAATTTTGCTGGGTGTAAACTAATTAAGGTGGTGGGATATAATTGGTTAAATAATCATGTTACAATATGTTAGGATTGGTTAGTTAAATTTCAGTAAAATGATTGGTTTAGGTATAGCTAAGCAGAACTCAAGTTTTACTATATAGTTTGCAGTCAATCAAGAAGTAAGGGGGGGGAATGGGAACGAGGAATGGGATAGGGAATGGGGGTGGGGGAATTGGAATCATGTTTTGCTAAGGGGGGGAATGGGAACAGGGACACAGGCAAGGCTCTGTGGTGTCAGGGCTGGGAAGGGGTGATACTAAGGAAGGAAACTGGAATCATGCTTGCTGGAAGTTCACCCCAAATAAACATCAAATTGTTTGCACCTTCAGACTTCGGGTATTGTTGCTCTCTGTTCATGCGAGAAGGACCAGGGAAGTAAGCGGGTGAAAGAATAAGCCCCCTAACAGCTGCTATCAAATCTCCCCTCACTCTTCTCTTCTGCAGACTAAATAAGCCCAGTTCCCTCAACCTCTCCTCATAAGTCATGCGCCCCAGCCCCTGAGGGAAGTGGCCAGGGCAGGGACTGCAGTCTGCCACTGAGACCAGTGACTAGAACCTGGACTGCAGCCTGCCACTGAGGCAAGTGGCTGGACAGAGGACTGCTGGCCCCTGGAAAGGGGGAGGAGAAAACCGAGTGGGGCACAGCTGAAGGGCTGTGTCCAGAAGAGGACACCGTAGTCCTGAGAGTGACACGGGTCCTGATGACAGAAGCAACAGCGGCGAGATGCCAATAGATAAAGGCGCACCGGCAAACCAGAGCTAATTCCCACAACGGCCAGAGGAGGTGCCATGGTGGTGAGTCCTGCCCCGTCACACTCCGGTTTAGGAATCTCCTTCATATTCTCAGCCGTGAAGACCGATGCAAAGAATTCATTTAGTTTCTCCGCAATGGCCTTATCGTCCTTGAGTGCTCCTTTAGCATCTCCATCGTCCAGTGGCCCCACTGGTTGGTCTGCAGGCTTCCTGCTTCTCATGTACTTAAAAAAATGTTTGCTGTTACGTTTTGTGTCTTTGGCTAGCTGTTCTTTAAATTCTTTTTTGGCCTTCCTAATGATATTTTACACTTTATGTGCCAGAGTTTTTGCTCCTTTCTATTTTCTTCGCTAGGATTTAACTTCCACGGTTTAAAGGATGCCTTTTTGCCTCTCACTGCTTCTTTTACTTTGTTGTTTAGCCACGGTGGCACTTTTTGGATTCTCTTACTATGAGTTAGGTGGGAGAGCACCTGTTTTCCCCAGCTTGGGAGTCACTAGCAGAGACAGGCCCCGCCCTGAAGCCTGCATTTAGGCACCCAACTCTGTGAGGGAAGTGGGGCTTTGCACGCACCTCTCTTGTCGCATCTCCCATTGGCTTGCTGACGCAGCGCCCGCCTTGCGTGTGGCCTTTTATGGACAGCCGCCCCAGCGCCTGTCTCTCCCTATTTGTCGTGTAGGACCCTGGATGCCTCGCTTGGGCTGTGGGAATTGCAGGACGCTCCTGGGGTTTCCGAGGCCCCTGGAAGTGAGGCGTGGTGACACTGAGCACTGCAGTGCCTACTCCTACTCCCAGAAGCTGCCCCCATCATCTTGATGGGCCTTTGCACCAGGACCCACTGCCCTGGCAGCCTTGTCACCAGTGCAGCTGATGACTCCCTAGCGCAGAAGGAGGAGGGTGCGCTGGGCCAAGCGCCCCAGTCAAGCAAATACACCCACTGTGGCTGAGGTAAGTCCTGAGGGGGCCCTGATGCCCCCAAGAGGAGGGGAGCCTGTGCCAGTTCCCGAAATATGCCATCGCAGGCTGGCCCATGGGCCCTCCTGCACTGGGAGATCTGCCCAACTCAGGAGCGGGTGAGGGACGTTGCCAGTGGGGAAGGAGGGTCCAGTGGTTAGGGTATCAGCCTGGTAGCTGGGAGATCCAGCTTCAATACACTGCTCCGCCACAGGCTCTCTGTGTGACTTTGGGCAAGTCACTCAGTTTCTCTGTGCCTCAGTTTCCCACCTGTCAAAGGGGAGCTGTGAGGATAAGCACATTAAAGATGGCAAGGCACTCAGATACTGCGCTGATGGGGGCCTGCGTTAGGCTTATACACCACCCAGGTCCTGAGGGCTAATGGGTGTGTCAGCCCGCAGCTAACCTAGCCCTTGGCACCTAGAGGGGTGTTAAGTAGGTCAGTCAGCAGGGCCACCTGGAAAGGAGACCGACTTCCATACAAGGCCGGAAAGAGTTCCTGGAGGGAAACACCCTGGAGGGAGGCGGTTGGGCGGGCGTGTCTCTGAGGGGATGGCTACAGCCATGGGAGGGGTGTTCTGTCGCTGTGGTAAATCCCCTCCCATGAGAGGCCGGTGCTAGGCTGACTCTCTGCCAACCCAGCGGTGTCTGCTCTGAGTTACCTCTTCAGGGGGGTAGGTTTCCCCTGAGGGACGGAGCTAGGTCAGCCAAGTTTTAGGTAGAGGCCAGGCCTGGGAAGGATCAGAGTAGCTGGGCAGGACTGACGCTCCAGCCCAGGAAGAGCCAAAGGGTTGAGGTTTGGGATCTGTTGGAGGACTGTGAGTTGTGGCCTGGAGGGAGGGGTGCAGTCCCAAAGCTCAGGGAGCCTGAGGGGGTACAGGGACAGGGGTACAGGGCCTGGGAAGGGCCTGCTGACGAGGTCTGGTAGGAAGAGGCCCAGGGAGGTAGCAGGGGATGGGTTTGAAGAGACAGACAGTGCCTGTTCACTGCAGGGTTCCTAGGCTGGAACCCAGAGGGGAAGGGGGGCCTGGGTTCCTCTACCAGCCGCCAGGGAAGGTGGCATGAAAATCCCCCTGATACAAGGGGATAGGGACTTCTGAAAGCCCTGGGACGAGAAGGTGTTTGGGGCCTGGCTCTGGGCCCTGTGGTTCTAAAACCTGATGTGAGGGTGTTGGACTTTCTGTTACCCTGAATGGACAGGGTGGAAATAAAACATGACCTGGCTGGACAGCCAAATCACGAGGAGGGGCAGCAGGGTGACCAGACGTCCCGATAAAATTGGGACTGTCCCGACATTTAGTTGTTTGTCCCGCATCCCGACCGATGTACGGTCGGGACGCCATTTGTCCCGATATTTTGCTTCGGCGGCACTCCGGCTTTTATTTTTTTTGCTTGGGGCAGCAAAACCGAGAGCCGGCCCTGGTGGGGGCGTGAGCCTGTGGATGCCCCCCCCCCCGCCATGTGTCCTGATATTTTGTTCTTGTCATCTGGTCACCCTAAGGGGCAGACCACTGCAGGGCAGAGCAACCACTGGCCAGGGTGCTAGAGAGGAAAGAGCTGCTACCCCATGCTCAGCCACCAGGGGGTGCCCCAGCCATGAGTCGACTCTTCCACAGGGCCAGGTAGGTCAAAGGGTAGATAAGGGGCCAGTTCTGAATCTGCAGGAGAGAATCTGGCCTGGTTACAGCTCCCCTGATTCTCATGACACACCCGCCCCAGCAGGCTGCTCTAGCTTGCACCAGCTAATGGGACCCTAAGTGCAGCTGGAGCCCATAACGCCCTTTCTGCTCTGGGCTGAATGGAGTGGAGGGTGCAGAGGGCAAGTCGGGCATCCCTTATGCCGGGCGGACTCTCGGCTGCCTTTTGGCCCCTTTGTGCCACCTGAGGATCACAAAGGGATGCAGTTGAGAACCGGGCCCATTGTCTTTTCCACAGGGCCCCTGCCTCATTCAGTGCTCAGGGCAGACTCTGCTGAGGGAATGAGGCAGGAATTCAATGCTTTGTTTTATTCGTGTTCTTCAGTGTGTTGTTTCTGCCTCGTTCCCAGTGCACTAGTGCCCCCTGGCTCTGAATACAGAAATATTCATTCCCTCATTCTCTGAGGAGCTTCTCTTGCCACTCGTCACCACAGAACCTGAGTGCCTCCCCGCCACTGCGGGAGAAAAACGAGTGGCCAGTGTGGAAAATGTTCTCTGATGAAGTAACTCACGCTCTCCCACTAGTCTCTCGGGAAGGCAGCTGTGTAAAGCTGGAGACTGGTCTGTAGGTGGCAGCAAGGATGCACATCACACTGACTTCTCTGGAAATCAGGGCCCAGTTAGGGGATATTGGAGTCAGCGACAGGTGTCACGTATCTCATTGTTCTGCTAGCAAAAGGGCAATGTCAGGACCAGCCCAGCGGGATTTAAAAATGACACCTCTGATAATCAGCCCTCAGGGGGTCAAACTGGCCACCCAGCGAATGAGGAGCACGCAGTTAGTGGCCACCGGTGACAAGGTTGGTTTCACAGCATCACGCAGAAATTCTGTGGCAGCGTCAGAGATGGAAGCCAGTTGTCTGAACCATAAGACTGTCCCTTCTCCTCTGGCAATCCCTGACTTACTCACTACACACCTTCCAACTTCTGCAACAAATGAGACAGGGTCCTACAGGCACCAGCCTCCTTCACTGCACAGCCCGGATTCAGTCCTGAGCAGATCCATCCTTGGGCACTGAATGAAGCAAAGGTCTTGTTGCAAAACGGTATGTGATTGTGTAATAATGACTGTGTCGTAATGCACATGCACAAGGGGGATGAATTAAGGTGGCTCAGCGACCTTAATTCTGGCATTTCCTACCTTCGGAGAGCTTGACTTTGCAATGTTCTTTGGAGATTGGTGGGTTTTGTATGTAATTGTGCCAGAGTGGCACATGTCCATATGAATTGTGTTCTCCACTTCGTATTGTGTGCTGAACATGTCTAAACTTGCCCAAGGCAGCCTATTGAATGGCATTCCAGAGAGCTGCACTGCCCAGAAAAGGAGTTTCACAGAAAAGTCACTAAGACCACAATCTGGGGTTATTAGCTTGACTGGCTCTCAACTACTGGCTCACCCCTATGGATCAATGGGCTTTTCTACACAGATGGGGCAAACGTGACTGGGGAGGGGGCTGGAACCTTCTCACTGAGCACATGGTTAAAAAACAACAGACTCTATTTAAGGGTGGGATGCCGCTGACCATCACCACCTGCAAGCAAGAGACACAGGAGAGGAGGAACTCTGCCTAGCCTGAAATATGGAGACACCTCGGACTCACAGGAGGGGTGAGATCAGTCTGGAGTACCTCAGAACTTTTATTTTCTGAAGACCTGTAACTCATTAGTGTTTACGAATACAATGACGGTGGTTAAGCCAGTCCTTGGCTAAGCCCTGTTCCTTGCTTTCCTGCGATGTTGTCCCTGAAGGGGTTAAGCTAGAAGCCAGAGTGACCACAGGAAGGTGGAGCTCTGGGGGGCTCGGGAGATCTGAGGCACTGGTTCCAGAGGCTGGAGCGGCTGGAACCCCGAGTTCCATGTCTCAAAGATGGGCTCAGAAAAGAGGTCAGAGCCTGGGACTGTACGTTATGGACCCAGAGCTCGGAATGGGGACTAGACTCTGCCCAGATCCAGCTACCTTGGAAGCACATGGGACCTTGTGGTTGGGTCTGCTTGCTACAGACTGATGGCCCTACGCTGCAGTAATGGGCCAGGCTGGGACAGTGACTTTCTAGGTTTTCAATAAAGGAAAATGGACAAAGCAGACATTCAATCATGTGCAGCCAAATGGCCCTCACACGTGTTGTCACCTAGGGCCTTCAGATCCAGAGCTCCGACCTCTACCATTGAGCTAAAGCATTAATTGTTAGCAGTAGGAGGCTGTTATCCCCAACGTGGTCCAGTGGGGTATGTGACATACACCTGGCCAGTCACTAGAAGGATATGTGATATCGACACCTGGCCAGTGGATTACGTAACTGGTAGATTTAAGTTGAATGCTGGGAATCAGAACTCCTGGGTTCTGTTTCTGGCTGTGAGAGTGGCATGTGGTCTAATGACTACAGACAGCATAGCTTATCACCTGGTGAAGGGCAGTCTGACCTTCCATCTTGTTATGCCAGTTGGAAGTACAAATCAGACTTCAGTCTCTTCTCCTACCCATCCGTTCTGCAATATATCTGGTGTCTAGAGAAATACAGAGCTCCACTCCCAACGAACCTGTAACATCCTGTACTTGTCACTTGAGGCAGAGTCCCTGCTGATCCGCACTAGAGTATGAAGTCACCAGCCCCACGTGAGCACTCGAGTGCTAGACATGTGCTTGTTGCTTTACGGCAGTGCACTAATGAACAAAGAAACACCAGAAATAACACTTACGCTCCTATGAGGGGAATTGAATCCGGGAAGTAGGTTTGGAAGAAATCCAGCACTTGATCGCCTGTCGTGAGCCGTTCAAAATCCTCGAAGGGCATGAAGAGCGTGCAGGTGAACGACTTATCCTGTGGGTTGAAAGGGAAATGCAAAGAGATGCTGAGAGGGTCGAGATGAGCCCTGTGTGCTTGGAGATGCAGCACAGAGCTCAGCCGGTGACCCAGCGAGGGAGGCAAACAGCTCAGCTTGGAAAGGGGGTGAGGACTGTGTTCTGGGCCAAGGTGTTCGAAGCACCGCAGGCCGGCAGAGGTACTCTGAGAAAACGAGACCCACACGCAGCTAAGCAGCGATTTATTGGCTTTATTGAAGGTTAGTGACACACCCGCAACGGGGACTCCAAGCGTTGCTGTCACGGAGGCGGAGAACCCAGCACACCGGAGCTGTGCCTGGGACGGAGTCTGACGAAGGGGTGAACAGCGAGCCATAACAAGCAGTACACAGAAACAGCTTGTGAATATATAATTAGGTACTTCCCTAAAGGGGCTTTCCGCTACCTGGCAACAGGCCATGCAAGGCAGACACAACCGGCCTAAAACCGGTTCAAGGTGGTTCTCCATGTCCTGCAGTGACCGGGCGGCCTCGAGAAAGCGGAAGTTCCCTAGCTAGGCCGTAACAAAGTCTTCCGCAGTCCCTTACAGACTGCGACAGCTGCCCCATTTCCCATCTTGCTTTTGTCATAGATTGTTTGTATCCTCATAGCGCCCACAACGGTCTCGGCATGCACCAAGTGCCGAGGACAGGCCTGTCCCCGAGCACACACAAGCCGCAGACAGGGAGGAAAGGCGGGAGAAGGAGCTAGAGCACAGATTGGTCATGGCCATGACTTGGTGGGGCAGGTGGTGGCGGGTGCGGTACAGGGGAGTTGGGGGTGGGTAGAGAGTGGGAGAAGTGGGAAAGGAGGGAGTGGAGCTCAGTGCTGGGGTGTATCAGTGCAGGGATCCACTGGTGAGGCTGGCAGGAGGAGCATGCTGTCCTGTGCAGCAGGACGAGGGAGGCCTGTTAGGGAGGGGGCACTGGAAAGGCCCAGTTTGTTCGCCAAGCCTTCTGCCAGTAGGATGGGCTGGCTCTGGCTTGCTCCTGCCAAAGTCAGTGACCAAACTGCATTACTTCCAAAGGAACAGGAGCAGGCCCTTTGCTTTTGTCTGCACCCGCATTATGGAGCATTCTCTTCACCCATGTGCCAGGGGCTGGAATCCCCAGCAGACCCAGCTACCCAAAGAACATTATCATTGCACCAGGTGTACATTGCACCAGGTGTACCATTGGACCTGGCCATCTGCCCATGTGCATTCATGGTCATAGCTTTTCAGGACAGGAGGGAGCACTCTGACCTTCTGCGGAGCACAGGTCATATACTGAATGCAGCCCGCTGGAGAGCAGCTTGGACCTCGTCTCCATCTGCCTTACTTTGGAGTAAGGGAACTGAACCTAGTGCCATGTTCCATAATAGTCTCAGCCTCACATTCTGGGACCTGGCACCATTGCCAAGTTCACCAGAAGGGTTGGTGTGAGGGTCCAGCACAGGGCGGCAGCAGTCGGGGGAGTTCTGACATTGCGGGCATTTGCCATCAGGAGTTTCTAAAGAGGAGTTGGGTTAAAGTGCCGATGAGCTGCAGGGAGGATCCAGGCTGTATCTGCATGGGCTAGGTGTGTCCTGCCAGCCTCTGTGGGGCTGCTGTTTCCACTTCCTGCTGTTCCTCCCCCACTCGCGCATTGTTAGACCGCTTGCTAGCCGTGTGTTATGCACTGCCGCCAGGCCCAGCTTTGTGTCAATTGGGGGTCAGGCCCTTTCACACAGGGTCTGCACTTTCCTGGTCTGTTCCACAGAGGGTCAGATTGTGGTTGGCCTTTACGTGGGAATGGGGCACAACCAGGAGAGACCTCTCCCCACCCCATCATGGTCCCAATCAGCAGCAGGGCACGGATTCAGTCTGTGAGCCTCCCTGGGTTAAAAAGTCCACCCCGCTTGCCATGGCAGCGCTAGGGTCTGTGTATCTCCCCAAGCCCCCTCCTGCCCCCAGAGCTTCTGCAGGAGCCAGGCCTGGAGCCGTCCCTGTGCCCCGAAGGAATGGCAGTGGTGGGTTCTTACCAGGTTAGGCAGCGCAATCATCATGAAGGTGTTCCTGGGCCAGATGTGAAGGTAATTCTCTTCCATGGCAAACTGAAAGGAAGGGACTGGTCAGTGTCTCTTTAGCAAGCCCATTACCCACAGATCAGCCCTGCAGAGAGGCAGGCAGGGTAGACGGAAACTGCACCATTTCACAGGTGGTAAAAGCCTTAGCAAGTTGGGTTGTTTCCCCATCATCCCCACCCCACTCACTCCTGCCTCTTCCTTAGGGTTGCCAACTTTCTAATCGCACAAAACCGAACACCCTAGCCCCGCCCCGAGACCCCTCCCCTGCCCCTTCTCGAGGCCCTGCCTCCACTCACTACATTCCCCCTCCTCGGTGGCTCACTCTCTCCCACCCTCACTCACTTTCACTGGGGTTGGGGCAGAGAGTTGGGGTGCGGGAGGGGGTGAGGGCTCTAACTGGAGGTGCACGTTCTGGGGTGGGCCTGGGGATGAGGGGTTTGGGGTGCAGGAGGGGGCAGGCTGGGGCCGAGGGATTCGGAATATGGGAAGGGGCTGCGGGTTGAGGCAGTGGTTTGGGCTGTGGGAGGGCATATGGGCTCTGGGCTGGGGGTACGGGCTCTGGGGTGGGGCCACGGGGGCTGGGGTGCAGGAGAGGGCTCTAGGCTGGGGGTGGGGCTGAGGGAGTCTGAGTGTGGGAGGGGACTGCGAGTTGATGCTGGGGGTTGGGGTGCAGGCTCTGGGGTGGGACTGGGGATGAGGGGTTCAGGGTGTGGGAGGGGGCTCTGGGCTGGGGCAGGGGGTTGGGATGCAGGGGAGGGTGAGAGCTCTGGCTGGGGGTGCAGGCTCTGGGGTGGGGCTGGGAATGAAGGGTTTGGGGTTCAGGAGGGGGCTCCAGGTTTGGGGGGGCTCAGGGCTGGGCTAGGGGGTTGGGGCACCGGCTTACCTCGGGCGGCTCCCAATCAGTGGCACAGCAGGGCTAAGGCAGGCTCCCTGCCTGTCCTGGCTCCGCACTGCGCCCCAGAAGCAGTGAGCAGCAGGTCCAGCTCCTAGGTGAGGTGGGAGGCTCCACGTGCTGCTCTCGCCCACAGGCACCGCTCCCCCAACTCCCATTGGCCGTGGTTCCCAGCCAATGGGAGTGTGGAGCCGGTGCTTGGGGAGGGGGCAGCGCGTGGAGCCCTGTGGGGCCCACCCCCCGGCCTAGGTGCCAGACCTGCTGCAGCCCCAGAGCCAGGACCGGTAGGGACTAGCCCGTCTGAGCGCCGCAGCCCCACCGACCGGACTTTTAACGGCCCGCTCGGCGGTGCTGACCGGAGCTGCTAGGGTCCCTTTTCGACTGTCGAAAACCGGACGCCTGGCAACCCTACTCTTCCTCCATTTGCTATCATTAGTGCCCCGCCCTAGTGGTGTTCTAGACTGTCTGCTGACATCACCACTTACTGGCTTCCCAGAGCCACAGCAGCACTCCCTTCCCTTTTCCTTCAGCATCAGAGACTGACTGCAGGAGCCCTCCCCCAAAATGAAAGGAGCTGTCGGTTCGGTGAAAGCTGCGTCTGATTCCAAGCACTGGTGGGAGAGGAGGGCGTGCAGAGGGGCATCGGTGGGTTCTAAGGTCTCCCCCCAGGGATGCTCCGGCATTGAGCAGAGCCCAAATACTCACTGTTTGCAAGTCCTGTGCTAACAAGCAATTGCCTTGTGCTACCACCTGTTTTAAAGCCAAGATTAACTGGTTCTACCAGCTCTTATGGATCCTGTGATAATCTTGAAAACAGGGACATTGCAGTGATGTCTGCCTGAGTCTGCAGGGAGCCTGAAATAATAGCTCTGAGAGGCAGGACCAGCCCCATCCCTCCCCCAGAGCCAACATTCTTAAAAGGGATTTCTAGAAGGGTTGCTGTGGCAAGGACCAGGGTGTTACAGCAGAGCACAGGATGGAGGGCGGCTACTTACGTCCCCATCCTTGGGTGGGATGATCAACTCCATGTACCCATGAGGAATGTACACATGGCTGTAGTTAAAGCAAGTTTGCCGCATGAACGGCTTTCTGACTGTAGAAAAGGCTCCATCACATCCCACAATGAGGTCACAGGTGACTTCCATGGGTGTTTGGTCAGGTCTGAAAAACAAGAGAAACCATTAAAATGAGGCTGCAGGACTTTGGCCTGGACCAGTGAACTCCCACAGCACCAGTGGCCAGGGTAGATGGGCCGTTTGCTCTCTGCTGAAGAGGTGTCTAAGCACTCTTTTGGACTTGATTTTTGGGTGCTGTGTTTAGCCTTCAGGTGTATGAAGAGACTGTCTGATCAACGTAGATTTTATAGAGTTCAAGGCCAGATGGGGCCATTGAGCCTGGCCGCCTATCACAGGCTGTTACATTTCACCCCGATACCTGTCCTGAGCTCAGGGACTTGAGTTAGACCAAAGCATTTCAGGCCTCAGGAGACTAAACTCCTGTGTGCCACAGGCAGTGACCAGGGGAACGCGAGGTGCCACGTGTACCCAAGGCCCTGCAGTGGACGAGGTGACATGCCCAGGTGATCCCCGCAGGCAGCCTCTGCCCCATGCTGCAGAGCAAAGCGTGGAACCCCAAGGTCCCGGCCATCAGTTAATAAGCTCTGGGGGTGGAGTAAGGACTTAGTCTGTAGGTTATTAAAGATGGTGTTTGTGAACTAGTCTCCACAGCTTTGTGTAAAAGGCCTCTGTTTACAGGGTGACCTAGTGCTGACAGCAGCCGCCAGTGTTTCAGGGCCATGCGGGGCCATACCATACGTCACGCTCAGCTAGAACAGGGTGTATCTGAATACCCAGACAGACACCGCAGACACCTTTGCGCAATGGCCACCAAGATCCCTTCACAGGAGAACAAACACATCATAAATCTGACGGACTGGTTCAACGCTGACGGTGCCGGGGTGTGATCCAAACCTGCCAGGTCACAGAAACCAAGTCATCACCTTACCTCAGGGGAGACTGTCTAGCCAGGACATGGATGGAAAACTAAAGGTGGCAAGACAAGCATGTTTGTTACTTGCACAAACAAATAAATCCATGTGTCTGGCTCATTGCTGATGTAGTTGCTTTGGCACTTTTAAATTCTTCATGAAAACTGCTGCAATGTCTGAGTCTTCACAAACCTGACGTCAAGGGTCAGCTCAGAACAGCCTTGCCCAGTTGTTTGTTTTGATTAATTATTAGGCAAAAGCTCTATGAAGAGAGCACTCTCAGGGATGGGGCCTGCATTACCCTTGTAAGGTTAATAGCCCTGATTCAATGTGGCAGCGGAGCAGCTTGTGTCCAAAGTACAACTTAGCGTTGGGGTACTTCTCAGCAGCTGTGAAGAGAAGAGAAGTTTCAATGTAATGGATTTAACGAGCCCACACAGCTATCCCAGAGAGCGCCCTTTTCATCTCTTTGATCAAATTAGATTCCTTCTGTGGGCGGGGGCGGGGAGGGAGCGAGATTTTATGGTTAAAACTTATGAAAAGTATTTACTAAGTGCAATACATCCTGGCAAAATATTCTTGTTCACCGAGACAATGGTAATCTTCAGATACCGCTATGACTCCTGTCCCTGCAGCATAGGAATCATCACAGAGACTGGGCCTGTGACACCCCCCAGCAGCCAACGGGAGATACGTGCATGCACCCAAGGGCAGAATGTGGCCACCCAGCTGTACGGCTGACACGTAACTACTTTGTAACATGCGGCAAGTAATGACTTTTTTCCTAGTAATGTTGTTAAATCACTCCATGTTGCATTCCAAACTCAGTGTTCAGTTGGACTCAGTAGAATGCAAATACACTGAAGAGATGGGTTATTTAGCTTTCCTGTCAACTTTCCCCTTATTTATACACAAAGCAGATAATTAGGAACAGTTCAAATTATCTCACCCAATCTTCAACATCACCCACCATCAAAATCCCCCGTGATATCAGCTGTTTTTCAATGAATGTCTAATCTGTGGGCTCAGTTTCCATGTGCACCAGGATGCTGTCTCTCAGAGCTAGTGCTCTGGAAATCAGTCCTTAAAACAAATTTACATATCAGGGCCACATTTGTTTTAAATGCTGCTGCTGGTTTCTCCCTTACATCCCCATCTTAAAATGTGTTCTAGGTGCCAGACCAGAACGCAGGGAGTTTGGAATCCTAAAGCCGACTTCCACAGCAGCCACAGAGTGGGAGTGAGAGCCTGGCCACATAATTCAGGGCCAAATGTTCAGAAGGACCTGCTAATTCTGGCACCCAGTTTGAGACAATTAGGCAGCCCCAAAATGAGGCACCCCAAAGTTTGTAGCAACTTTTGTAACATTGGACCTTACTCTCTCTAGTCCAAGTTTGTTCCTCTGTCAACTGAGCACAGTGTTTTCCTACCATAGAGGTGTGTTGGGGGGTTAATGTTTGTAAAATGCCTTTCGACTTTCAGATAAAAAATACTCTAGATAAGTTTTAAGTATTATTCGAGACGTGTCTTCAAAAGCTACATGTTAGTCTGTACTTGTAGACTCTGTTAGTGGCTTCTGACTATCGTGAAGAGACCCAGAACTCTTGGAGAACCAGAGCAGCATTTCCAGAGGAAACCATGGAAACTCTTAAAAAGAAAAGGAGTACTTGTAAACTTAGCCCACTTAAAACTTAGATCAACCTAGCTATGTAGCTCAGGGGTGTGAAAACTTTACAGCCCTGAGTGCCCTAGTTAAGCCAACCTAACCCCCGCCACACACACACACACACACCCTGCCCCTGAGTAGACATGGCTAGGTCGACAGAAAAATTAATCTATTGACCTAGCGACTGCTCCCCTGGGGAGCTGGATTGCCTACACTGATGGAAAAACCCCTTCAGTTGATGCAGGAAGCATCTATATTATGTCTCTACAGCACCATAGCCTTTAAATTAGGGCTGTCAATTAATTGCAATTAATTGCAGTTTTAATCACACTGTTAAACAATAGAATACCAATTGAAATTTATTAAATATTTTTGGATATTTTTTGACATTTTCAAATATATTTATTTCAATTACAACACAGAATATGAAGTATACAGTGTTCACTTTATATTATTATTTTAGATTACAAATATTTGCATTGTAAAAATAACAAACAAAAGAAATAGTATTTTTCAGTTCACCTCATACAAATATTGTAATGCAATCTCTTTTTATCGTTAAAGTGCAACTTACAAATGTAGATTTTTTTTGTTATATAACTGAGCTCAAAACCAAAACAATATAAAGGTTTAGAGCGTACAAGTCCACTCAGTCCTACTTCTTATTCAGCCAATTGCTAAGACAAACAAGTTTGTTTACATTTATGGGAGATAATGCTGTAAACAAGAAGCGGGCAATGTCACCTAAAAGTGAGAACAGGTGTTCGCATGGCACTGTTGTAGCTGGCATCGCAAGATATTTACATGCCAGATGCGCTAAAGATTCATATGTCCCTGCATGCTTCAACCACCATTCCAGAGGACATGCGTCCATGCTGATGATGCTCATTAAAAAAATAATATGTTAATTAAATTTGTGACTGAACATCTTGGGGGAGAATTGTATGTCTCCTGCTCTGTTTTACCTGCATTCTGCCACATATTTCATGTTATAGCAATCTCGGATGATGACCCAGCACATATTGTTTGTTTTAAAAACACTTTCACTGCAGATTTGACAAAATGCAAAGAAGGTACCAGTGTGAGATTTCTAAAGATCACTAAAGCACTCGAACGAAAGTTTAAGACTCTGAAGTGCCTTCCAAAATCTGAGAGGGATGAGGTGTGGGAAGCATTCTTTCAGAAGTCTTAAAAAAGCAACATTCCGATGCGGAAACTACAGAACCCAAACTACCAAAAAGGAAAATCAACCTTTCTGCTAGTGGCATCTGACTCAGATGATGAAAATGAACATGTGTCAGGCCTCACTGCTTTGGATCTTTATTGAGCAGAACCTGTCATTAGCATGGAAGCAAGTCCTCTGGAATGGTGGTTGAAGCATGAAGGGACATATGAATCTTTAGCGCATCTGGCATGTAAATATCTTGTGACGCCAGCTATAACAGTGCCATGCAAACATCTGCTCTCACTTTTAGGTGACATTGCCCGCTTCTTGTTTACAGCATTATCTCCCGTAAATGTACACAAACTTGTTTGTCTTAGCAATTGGCTGAAAAAGAAGTAGGACTGAGTGGACTTGTAGGCTCTAAAGCTTTACATTATTTTGTTTTTGAATGCAGTTATTTTTTGTATATAATTCTACATTTCTAAGTTCAACTTTCATGATAAAGAGATTGCACTACAGTAGATGTGTGACGTGAATTGAAAAATACTATTTCTTTTGTTTTTTTAACAGTGCAAATATTTGTAATAAAAAATAAATATGAAGTGAGCACTGTACACTTTCTATTCTGTGCTGTAGTTTTTGAAATAATATTTAATTTTGTAATTTTTGTAATATTTGAAAATGTAGAAAACATCCAAAATATTTAAATAAATGGTATTCTGTTATTGTTTAACAGCACGATTAATTGCGCTATTGATCACGATTAATTTTTTTTAATCGCTTGACAGCCCTACTTTAAATCCTTGGTCCAACCCTAGTTTTTCTTAGGTAGGACAAAGTGAAAAGGGCCTAGGAGCACTCCAAAAAGGCCAGGACACTTACCTGTTAGCAGCTCTTTGTTTAAATTTGCTCTGTCCACAGAGAGAATGTACTGCAGGGAAACAGTTTTAGGAAGTGAGTATTTCTGAAGCATTTTTTGCAAAAAATGTTTGGAGGATGACATGATAGGCAGCAGTCCTGCAAACACTGACACGAGTCCTTAACTGTAAGCACATGAGCTGTCTTGCTGAAGGTGAGACAAGGCTCTGAACCTTCTCCAGTTTTTCAACCCGAACTGGACACAGTCTTCCAGCAGTGCTCTCGTTGCTGTGGGGGGCAGTGGAGGGGGCAGCAGGGCTGGGGGAAAGGAACGCTGGGTGAGGCAGGGAGGCTGCATGTGAGGAAAGCCGGGAGGGAGAATGTGGTGGAGCAGAAAAACCGGGTGTCAGGGCTGGTGGCTGAGAGGAGATGGGAATGGGGTGGGCCCCCAGGTGGGATTGCAAGGCATAGGGAATTGAGGCCACGTTTACACAGTTGGATTGTGAGAAACAAACCATTGGGACAGTTTTTGTGAGGACCCAGAGGAGTTAAAATATTTGTGTTTTATGGTTATAAAAAACATTACAGTGTCCCTTGGCCACAAGATATTTTTTGCATTAGAGGCAAAATAGCCAAAATATGTACTTTGTTCCACCATTATGGTGCTGATGGTGTACAGTCCCTTCCCTGAGGGCTCAGAGCACAGCCCCAGCCAGACAGGGTGCAATGGAAAATGCAGAGAGGGGGATAAGGAAGGTTTTGTGCATAATTACTCTTAACTCACTCCCCAGGGCATCCTTTCGTCCACACACGCTGGATGCGATCACTGAGCATTACACATTGCTGTAACACCGGTCCGGTGAACGTAAACAAAGGCCCCTGCCCCCAGGGCATGTGTGGAAGGAAAATACCTGGCTCTTTGTTCCATAGGGGATGGAATATGTTTTTCCCGAGGGCATGTGTATCCTCCTGGCCCGCATGGGGATGCCTTTGGCCACAATCTGAAATCAAAAGGGAAGAGACTTCCATTACCTTCAGCTCCAACAGTGAGGCTGAGGGGCCAGTGTGTGACTCCCTGAAGCCCACTAAGTCCAATGGGGCCTAGGCCCAGCCCAGCGAGTCAGGGATCCCTAATCCGGCCCTGGCAATGTGTGATGTGCTATGCTATAAAACTGCTGCAGCTCACTGAGACAATTAGCTGCCAGCTCCTTCTAATAAAAATCCCTGGCAAGTTGGTTTGGCCAGAAAAGGTCCGTAAAGCCCCCAGCGCCTGTGTAGGAATCCAAGCCAAGGTGCTGCACTGGGGTACGAGCTGTGTATGACCTGGGCTTTATTCTCCCCTCAGATCTGAAAGGGCACAAGCCTGAGCAGCTGCAGTTAGACCCCACGCAGCAGGGGCAGGGCTTGCACCCAAGCGGGCTGTGCGGAGCTCATGGCACACTGCGGGCCTGAGCCAAAGCCCAGTGAGGTCTGTGGAAAGGCTCTGATTTCCATGGCCTTTGCAGCAGGCCCTGGGCTGAGGATATATGGGAAAATTCAGCTTTATCCCTGGATGGCTTGGGGCCTAGACCTGAAAATCAGCCCCACTGTTCTGCTCCCTGGCACCACTGCCCACACCTGGCTTTCTAGGGATGATGCTTCCACTGACTGCATCGTACTTGCCCTCCCCCCGTCCTTACTCCTCCGAGGGCTCTCGGCCCAGATAGCTGCCATGAAGAGCCGGTGCTCTCTCTCTCTCTGGGTCCCCTGGCACAACAGCAGAGCGCCAGCTGCATGGCCTCCGCACACGCCTGCTCCAGGGGACGCGGGACTCGCCCTGCCAGGCTGCCCGCACCTTGGCCGCGTGCCCTGCAGCAGAGGAGTGCCAGGCATGCAGGAGAAGTGGCGATTATCTCAGGAGGCCGTGCCAGTGGACAGCTTTGGTGTGTTAACGGCTCCCGGGCAACGTTAGGGAGAAGCACAGCTACGGCCTGTCCCTAGGGCTTGGAGCTGTCCCGGCCGGCCAGCAACTGAAATGAAACCTGTGCTTGACGAAAGGTCGTCAGGCATTCGCTTAAAGCCCCCGAGGGAGGCAGTGCGGCTACCTGCTCTTCCATCCCAATGGCCTTGAGGGCCTGGCGTCCTCTGTGAGACAGCGCCAAGTTAATGCTCCTGCCCCGAGCAGCTCTGGCGACGCGTATATCTGAAAGGAAACAGCAGCTGCAGTTTGTCCCTGGGGCGGCCATGGCTCGCGCGCAGAGGAAAGCCTGTGCACACGGCAGAAGGCTAGCCAGGCAGGAGTCGAAGCAAAGCTTTACACTAGCCTCCCATGAGAGCACGCATTTATTTACACACAGCTTCACAAGACTGAGGATCCTGCAGCAGCTGGCGGCAGGCCTGGTGGTTTGCTCCAACGCCATGCCGGAGACATGCGCATGTGACCTGAGGGGGCTGGGACATGGCAGGAGCCTGGCCTCCACCAGGCTTACTGCCTCCCAGGCCAGTGGCACCTTCCCCCACCCCTCCCAGGGAGAGGCCGGCACATTCCTCGCTTCCTGGAGGGCAAGTACATCACCTACGAAGGACCTGACCTTGCCCCCTCGACACCAGCCGAGCAGTACCTTACCCCAGGACTAGCCCCATGAAACGCATGGCGTTACTCTCAGGACAAAGGGCCACTCGGCCTGAATAAGGCGGCAGACACAGACGCCAGAGGCCTGGTCCCAGGCAATGGAAGGACTCATCACTTCAATGAGCGTCGGATCTAGCCCTTAAAGCATGTACGTTTCACGCTGCTGTATGAGGTGGGCCCGATCCTGCAGCCCATGCTTGGCCCAGGTCCCAGTGGCTCCAGAGGGAGGTTGGCTGAGTGGAGCTGGTCAGTAGAGGCCTGTTTTTAAGGTGAACGGTCCTCTTGAGTCTCCCATTGAGGAACCAGAGTAACACCCCTGCCCCCCCCCCGTCTGTGACCTTGGCTCTCTGAGGGTGACCAGTCCAGCGACGCTGGAGGGCCAAAAAGGGCGCAACAGAGATTTGGGGTTGGCTTTGCTTCACGAGTGTTGCTGTAATTTCAAGTCAGTGACGTTGCTTGCTTGTTTTCCTTTCGTGTGCCTGGTGCCTGAGCGAGGTACCAAAGACGCTCCCAGACTGCAGCACCAGCCCCGCGCACCCCGGCGTGAGTCAATTCATTCATTGCTCTGGATCTGTTTGAACTGTTAATTTTTGACAGCTGCACTGTTAGTGGTAAACCACCTTTCTGTGTGTCATTTCTTACAGCAGCAGGTGAGCCCACCCTCCACAGCTGTGGCTGGAGCTGAGTAACCGGAAAACATGAAAGCCTGGATGTAAAAACCAAGTTCTCTTTTATGCTGCATTCAGTGTGTCCATTTCCTCTGCAATGCAGCTTATACCAGCAGAGCTGAGAGCAGCCAATGAACATCTGTGCTGCTCCCAGCCCTATGGGAATGGCGGCTGCTCTCCTGGACCTAGCTCAGGGAGATGGGCAGAGGTAGGTCCAGGAGAGCAGCCATTGTGGAGAGTGGTCTCTGAGGCCTGCCCAGGGCAGAAGCTATGCTGAAAGGGACCCTAAAGGGAGCTGGAGAAGAGCCAGCCAAGACAGCATTTGGAAAGAGTCCATTGGAAGAGCTTAGAGGTGGCAGGAACAATAGCTAGGCAGGGACACTAGCCTGTGATTGAATGCTGAGGGGAAGGAGCCACCAGCCCCATCCCAGCGATGCAGCAAAAAGAAGCAGCATTACACAGGCTTGTTTAGATGTTTGTAAGGGTGGCTGATCAGCAGGGATAAAGCAAAACCAAACCAAACCAGCCTCACTTCCTCTTTGGTTGAATGTACACTGGGAGATCTCTGTCTCAGAGTTTCTACTATGTTGTGTTCCAGTCACATATGACGCATCCTTTCAGCAAAGCATACCGAGAGCTGTTCACAGCTGTCAGTGCTGGGCTCCACTAGCCGAATTACGCAGTCTGGGGGCAAGCGAGATCACTGTGCGGAACAGCTCCAGGCTGAGGGTAGAAGTCCTTTCAAACTCTTTTACCAAAGAGGTACAGCCCTGTGCAGAGTCTTTGTGCTACTGAGGAACGGATTCAGAATGGGTTTGGTGCCCCCGACATCCTAATCCTCTGTCAGTGTCCTACAGTGAACCTGGTGATGTTCTCAGGCAGTGTGGGGATAGAGGGGCAATTTGGGGCCAATCAATGGTGGGGGCCATCAGGTGGTTGTGTATCTTTACCAACACATTGACACCTTGGCCTCGAAGCTGGGCACTTAGGCTCCAGCATGCCCTAGGAGAGCAGAGAGGAGTCAAAAGCTCTGGGAGCCAAACCAGCTTTATTAACTCCCCTGGATGGACGAGCCCCTGATCTTTGCCTGGATTAGGTGCTGGTTAAACATTTGTGGTGTCTTCCGTGTTCACGCCCAGACTGAAGCATGCCTGGCTAAGTGTGTTTGTCTGGAGCACCCTACATGAATACTACAGTTTCAGGTGAGCTGGGAGACCAAATGCTAACGTGAGCTTGGTGTTATTTACGTGCAAGTCGAGGTCACCCAGCAGCAGGAGCAAGGGCTGTGCACACTTCCCCACATAACTGCCAAGCTGCCTCAGCCCTGACTTGCAGCATGTCTTGTCCACCGTGAGCAGCGTCCAGGTACAGAGAAGTGGTTCTGGAACATGCACAACGTTAACTTGGACAAGGATGCAACAAACCTAGCGTTGTTTTTGCAACCTAGGGGTGTAATCCTGCAAACATTCGGTACTGAGGGGTGGTGCTGTGAGGAGCGCCACTGAAGCCTGAAACTGCCCCAGTAAAACGAATTATGCTCAGTGGGAAGCTTTGTGAGGACGTATGACTCTTCCGCTGACCTGGACTCTTCCTTGTGAAGGAGAAGCAGAACAGCATGTCATGGAGTTCCAGTGGACGTGATTTTTAAGTCAACTTCTAGTTCCTGGTACAGGAAACCCAAACCAATAAATATCCCACATATATTTTTCCAGTCTATTCTGACTGCCTTTAGCACTATATACCAGTATAGGTGTCCATTAGCAAAACGTGTGGTGTGATAGCTCAGCGTGGGGAGGGATAGCTCAGTGGTTTGAGCATTGGCCTGCTAAACCCAGGGTTGTGAGTTCAATCCTTGAGGGGGCCATTTAGGGATCTGGGGCAAAAAAAATTGGGGATTGGCCCTGCTTTGAGCAGGGGGTTGGACTAGATGATCTCCTGAGGTCCCTTCCAACTCTGATAGTCTATGAGTCCACTTTCCTAGCTTTGCTTAATGGCTTTTAAGTAACCAGTAACCTTTGCAATTTTTTTGGAAATGAACCAGGGTAGTGCATGTGTCTGCCTCTGGGGGAAGGGGGTTCCCTTCCTCAGCAAAAATAACCTGAGCTGCTCATACCATCTCCAAGGACGAGGGTGTGCACGGGGCCCTATTTCTTGCAGCTTACCTTATGCTGGACCATCAGCTGAGGCAGCACTGCCAGGAATTGCAAAAACCAGGGTTTTATTCATATCCCTCTAATATTAGCTGGTCTTTTGCCAACCAGCTAGATGCATGTATGGGTTATAGCACATCTGTGAGCCTTTAGGACGGGGTGGGCAAACTTTTTGGCCCGAGGGGTTGCTCAAAGAGGGGGGTCCGCCGGGGTGCGGGGGTCGGGGAGGGAGGGTGTGCGCCGCCCCGGGGGGGGGGGGCGGGGGGAGGGGGGGCGGGTCGCGCGGGCGCGGGGGCCCCGGGCGGTCCGGGTTGTCTCCAAGTCGGAGGTGGGTGGTTGCCCGGGGAACGGGAGGGGGTGGGGAGGGGAGGGATAGGATCGGGGCGACAAGGAGGTTGGGAAAGAACGGGGTTCAAGGTGGGGGCCGGGGAAGAGCGGGCGGGGCGGGAGGGGGGCGGGGGGGGGCGCCCTTGTGCGGTGGGGGGGGGGCCGGGCCTGGGGTTTTTGGCCCCCTTCAAGAAGGTGTTGAAAGGAGAGGTGAAGGGCAACAAAAGTAGGGGCGGACCGGTTGGGGGGGGGGGGGGGGGGGGGTTTGCCCTGGTAAAGATATAATGGGGGGAATTTTTAGATTTTGTTAATGTGGATTTTATGGAATTGTTAAGGGGTTGGAAATTTCTGGTTAATTTTTAGTTGTTTGAAAACTGTATGGAGGGCCGGGTAGGGAAGGCTGTGCCTCTCCAAACAGCCTGGCCCCCACCCCCTATCCGACCCCTCCCATTTCCCGCCCCGACTACCCCCCTCAGAACCACCGACCCATCCAACACCCGCACCCCCCGCTCTTTGTCCCCTGACTGACCCCTCCCGGGGCCCCCCTGACCCTAACCACTCCTCTGGGACACCACCTCATCCAACCCTCCCTGTCCCCTGACCTCTATCCACACCCCTGACCCTAACGGCTCCCTGGGACCCCACCCCCTATCCAACCCCCCCTGCTCCCTGTCTCCTGACTGCCCCGACACCTATCCCTACCCCTGCCCCCTGACAGGCCCCCCGGGATCCCACACTTATCCAACCTCCCTGTCCCCCGTCCCCTGACCGCCCCCCCGAACCTCCGCCCCATCCAACTGCCCCAGGCTCCAAGTCCCCTGACTGCCCCCCAGGACCTCCTGCCCCTTATCCAAAGCCCTGGCCTGGCCCTGGCCTCCTTACTATGCCGCTCAAAGCGGCATGTCTGGCAGCCATGCCACTCGGCCGGAGCCAGACACGCTGCCGCGCTGCCCTGCAGGAGCACGCAACCCCGCTGCCCAGAGCGCTGCCCGCATGGTGGCATGGCTGCGAGGGAGGGGCTGGGGGCTAGCCTCCCTGGCCGGGAGCTCAAAGGCCAGGCAGGACGGTCCCGCGGGCCGGATGTGGCCCATGGGCCGTACTTGGCCCACCTCTGCTCTAAGTAAGGGGACTGTTGCCCCCTTACTAACATTCAGTGGGGGTGTTTTGGTTGCTAACTCCCAGTACCAAAAGGGGAAGGGTCGATGGGAAACGAGGACCCTGAGACGGACAGTCCCCGGGGGCAGTGGGGAGAGGCCAACGCTCCAGGTCAGCCTGATGGCCAGGGCGGGCAGGCTAATGATGGAGTCAGGAGGCCAGGGAGGTCCCATCCTCCGGGTGACCTGGAATTGCCTGGCTCAGGCAGCGTGGGGCTGAGCTAAGGAGAGAGCGGGGGCCCGAGCTGAGCTGGGGAGCAGAGGCGGGCCAGCCAGCGGGGCAGAGAGACAGCCCAGGGAGAGCAGACCCTGGGCTGGGAGCAGGGCTGCAGCCACAGAGCCAGGTGTGGTGAGCCACTGGGGCCAGGCAAGGGGGGCCTTGGGCAAAGGGCCCAGCGCAGAAAGACACCGCCAGCCAAGGGTCCTTGCAGGCCCGAATGGGAGGGGGATCTGAACCCAACGGGGGGCTGACTCTCAGAAGAAGGGTCCCACCCCCCAAAGCCCAGAGGGGTGTGGCCACCATCAGAGCAAGTGTCTGACCGGCAGCATCCTTGCGGCACAGCCAGGGCCTGAGAAGGGGCCTGGGACTTACAAGGAACCAATTGTGAACGGCCCTGACGTTCCCGAGACATGGTTTGTGATGTTCCCTGCCACAGAGCGGGGTGATGTGTTTTCCTTTCATCTTTCCCATTTTTCCTTTTAAATTTTTTTAATTAAATTAATTAAATTAATTGCTGATTAAATAAACTGTATTTGCTTTAAATCGTATGTAATGATCAGTGGGTCAGAGAAGCGCCCAGTGCAGAGAGTACCCCGGAGTGGGGACACCCTAGCCCCTGTCCTAGGTGACCACTGCAGGGCTGGAGGTCAAGCCCCTCAGGAATCCTAGCCCAAGCCTTGTCGGGGTTACGAGGACTCTGCCAGACAGGAGAGTGGAAGGGGAGTCCTCAAGGGCAGGGAGGCCACTGGGTAAAGGAAGTGGGAGCGAGGACTCAGATCCTTTCGCTAGCCCACTTCACCGGGGTCGTGCAGACACCAGGAAAGTTCCCCACAAGAGCGGGACTGTTCCCCGCTTACATCTAGGAAGATCCAAGGTTAGCTCTTGGCAGTGTAAAGACTTCTTCGGGTCCCTGCTGAAGTTGAGAAACGGACTCAGCGGTACTGGGTATTCATTCACATGTATGACCGTATCCTCTTTTTTCCTGATGCTTTGTGTATATGAGGCTTTAGTCACCGTTACCACTAGCCTCGTCCTTAGCAAAAACTTGTTAAGAGGGTTTGTTACCTTTAAAAGTTAAACACAAGCCCTGGGTGCAATAACTTCCTCTTTCGCTATCTGTGCCTCTTGCAGCTCTTTCTCCACATAGCTTTGGGACTTAGGGGAATGGAGCACTCAAACCTTGCGCAACCTTCAGCCTTGACAAACCCAGGGCGTCAGCAAATATTCTACAGCGTTAATCATGCACTGGCAAGCTTCTGGGACAGCTTCTGCATCACTATACACATCCTGTAAGGAGCCCAATTGTCAGACTTGGGCGTTCAAATCAGCCCTTACCATAGGTGCGTAAAAAGAAGGGCACCTGTAAGTTCTGAAAGCTGGGTTCATTGTGTTACCTGCACACACATTCAGAAAGGCACATTGCAGAGTAAATGCTAGCGTTTCAATCACATGTTCCGAGTGAAAGCTAAGGAAATATTCTAAAGACACATTTTCAGATTCTGTTTGTTCCACAGTCTTTGCCCATAACATTCCTTTCCCCCCTCCCCACCTCACCCCTTTTTAGGAGCTGGTGGAAATAAAGAATTGATCAGATTAGTAATTGTGTAATTATAGTAAGACTGGGCTCACCTTCTCTGGCTTCATACATATCAACTTGGAACCCTCTTCTTGCAAAGAAACAGACATTTAAAGCACCCACCTACAAGAGAGTTACAGAAACATGTTACAGTTATAGAACAATTTCCTTGCAGAGACTCTGAATGTGCTTTCCAATTATAAACATGTAGCATCACTGACAGGCAGCTTCTTATAGAGGGGACGGTGACAACCAACTGGTACACAGCTCAGCAGGAAACGGGGCATCTTGACCATGTACCTGAGAGACGTCTTCTCCTAGGAAAAGGGCGCTAGAATCCCTAACATGCATACAGGGTAGCTAGGACTTGGTGGTCAAAGTTCCCAATCAAAGATCCCTTCGCACTGAAATGTAGGCCTTGTCTACACTCAGGCACGCACACCCCTAATTCAGCAAGCATTGTAACTGCACCAGTGCTGACTTCTACATGTAGGCAAGGGTAAGCTGGAGTTTGCATCAATTGTCAAGCCCCTATTTATCTACCATGAGAGAATTTAGGGTGTTGTGGTGTTTCTCTTGTGAACTGACTTCAGGGAACCTATGGCTGGCTAACTTTGCCTAGATACACAAAGTGCTACAAAGGCAAATCTAGATTGTATATTGCCCATACACCATGCTTTTGACTGTTGCTGTGACCTAAGAACCTCTTAATGCCAACTGGCAAAAAAATGCGGCGCGGTTACAGGAATTTCCTGCATCTGCCATGTACATTCCTGTTCACCAAAGAATGATCTCAAGTGAAAGCCGGAGTCATGCTGGTTATGAAAAGCATCAAGAAATGTATGTACAGATACTAGATAAGGAATCACGTGTAGATACTGAAAATATGTTCTTAAAGTCAGTATCAAGGTACTGGTCACAGCAAAGGTGAAAAACAGTTTTTCTGTCAGACAAGAGATGTTTATCCGGCTGCCAGTTTATGTGTCGACGGAGTATTGTCTCATTTCATAATGAGTCTTTATCACCAGTCTGAACTGCATGCAAATGAAAGACTGAGGGGTCTTCAAGAAGAGAAACTAACAGGAAGAGAAAAACAGCGTGCGTGCGGGAGAGAGAGAACCCTGTCTAGAGCTACACACCAGAGATTTGCTCCACTATATTTGGGAGGCAAAGACGACATGTTGGCATCCTTCACTGAGAAAGTAAAAGGCCAGTGACTTTGCTTCATGAAAAAAGGGGGCTCAGCCAGACTTGGTTGGAAACGCTGGAGAGAACTTTGGGTGTGATAAGCTTTTTTAGACAAAAGAGTAACTCGTTAGTTCTGTCTAGTCTTTAAAAAGCACGTTATGATTTGTTTTATATGTAACCCTTTGTTTCCAGTACTCTTACTCACCATCACTTGAGTCTCAAGTCTTTGATAATAAATGTAGTCTTGTTTTCCACTACAAATATATCTCAGTGCTGGTGTGTTAAGCAAAGTTCTGGTCCTGAGTTGAAGCTCACTTATTGGCATGTCCTGTTCCTTTGGGACCAGCAGGCCTGGTCATTCGGTGAGCGTGTGGTGGATAAGGAACTGGACACGGCAGGGAATGCGCCATGTATTCAGGCATTGGCACATGCCTATCACTACCTGTATGGAGAGCGAGGCCTGGAAGGCTGGGCTGTGCTGGCAGAGGCTGGTGGTTTCAGGGCACTGAGCCCTGGCAGGCACAGACAAGACTGCTTCACGCAAAAGGCAGAGGGTGGAGAGGTTTCAGAGAAGCAGCCGTGTTAGTCTGTATCCACAAAAAGAAAAGGAAGACTTGTGGCACCTTAGAGACTAACACATTTATTTGAGCATGAGCTTTCGTGAGCTACAGCTCACTTCATCGGATGCATACCGTGGAAAACCACTGAATGCATCCGATGAAGTGAGCTGTAGCTCACAAAAGCTTATGCTCAAATAAATGTGTTAGTCTCTAAGGTGCCACAAGTCCTCCTTTTCTTTTTTTAGATGGTGGAGAGGCCTACCAACCTGGGAAGCGTCCACAGCTGCTGCCCTTGCTTTCTGCATATCCAGCATCATTGCCTTGTGTATTTTCCACAAGGTCTGCTACAAATCCATGCCAGAAGACAACCCGGACCCTTTGTTTCAGGAGTCTGTTCCACTGACCTGGCTAGTCAAGGAGCAAAGATCTGGCAAACGTGTCAAATCTGCCTTCACGCTACTGTTCCCCATGTATGTTATATTACAGCATTTGATTTTAAGTTCAAGGAAAAGGAGATCAACAGTGGGGAGGAGACATGAATTTCATTATTCTTGTTGTTATTTCTTTCTTTGTATCACTGTTGCATAGGGGCTCTCGTCCTGGACCAGGCCACCCACTGTGCTGGGCCCTGCACCAGTGCAGAACAAAGAGACAGTCCCTGTCCCAAGATGTGCACAATCTTTATGCAAGACAAGAGACAACACATGGATACAGACAGATTGGAAGCAACAGACAATCCCATCTAACTAGGCCAGAGAGGCCGAGCGTGGGGGAAGGAACGCACCAGCAGAGTGACTTGTGTGATGCCACCAAATGCACATTAGCGCCACTGTTCTTTGGCGGGGAGGCAAATGGGGGGTGGGGGGGATCAGCTATCTGGAAAGACAAGGGGAGTGAGGGGGACAGGGCAGTGAGGGGGAGGAGGGTCGGGGTGGAGTGAAGGGGGAGGCTGCGGGGCGGGGCGGGGTGGGGGGTCTGCACACATGCAGAGGGCAGCAACTCTGCTAGGAGGCCCCACCGCCCTGTTCCCAGCTCTCCCGAGGCTTCCGCAGCCACAGGATTGGCTGGGGCTGGGACCGTCTGGGGATGATGTAAGAGGCTCCAGCTCCGTAGCAAATATGAGGCCTGCATGGGGGAAATACGCCCTCTGATTGGCCGCCTGCCCCACGGCCCTGCCTCCTGGAGTAGAGCAACCAATCAGAGCTGCTGTAGGAAGAGTTCTCTCTCCCCCTCGCAACCCAAAGCCATTCTCACAGGAGGGGAGGGGGGAAGCGAAGAGCCAGCAGCTCAGGGCAGCCCACTTCCCCCCCCTCCTGTGAGCAATGGGGATGGGATGGGTCTTGTGCTCCTCCCCCATCCTCCTGCACACTGCCTGGTGGGGCAGAGGGGGGCAAAGAGTCCCTGGAGCTGCCCCCATCCTCTGTCCTGAAGGGGGAGAGGGAACTCTAATGCATCACAGGCTGGGGAAGGGCTGGGGGGGGGGGGGAAGAACCCCAGGAGGAGCACGGGGGGGTAGGGGGCAGGATTAATTTCTGGGCAGGCAATGGATAGACATGGGGTGAGAGTTCCTGCAGCAGAGCCAGAATCCCCCCCGCCAACACATCCACGGTCGCCCCCGTCCCAGGGGTGGGCCAGGGGAGCTCAGCAATCCAGGCAGAAGGGTAAATGTTAGGCTGGGGCACCCGTAACAGCTGCCAAGGGGTGGAGGTCTGTGTAAGGAAACAGTCGAGTCACTGTTAACGGTTGTTTAAATGTTGCTTCGGCGACACTCCAAACCCTGCTGACACGGTTCTGGGTTGTTCCCCCTTTGCGTGAGGCTGACTGGGAGCTGCGACGAACAGGCCCACGCAGCCCTTTGCACACAGCAGTCCTGAGGTGTAACGCGGGGTAAAGCTTTCGGAGGAGCCAGACCGTGGCCTGGGCTGCCTCCTAGAGTTCAGCTGCGAGGCAGAAAAGGGGCCTGGGGGGGCAAGAGTTTGTCCCCAGCACTTGAGGCAGACCAGGGACTGCCGCGAATTACACCGCCAGGTGTCCGCAACACACGTCCACCGGCTCCCACGCAGGGCACTTCCTCTGGGAAACTGGCAGGGACTCTGTGCAGCAGGGGTGGCTTTTCACACCCAGTCTCATGTCTTGTCTCACCCTAGTGTGTTACTCGTTCACATGCTCGGTCTTCAACAGCCTCTCCCTCAGCGCCCCAGCAGAAAGGCTCGACCCAGCAAACGCAGCCCTGGATGTGGTGCAGAGTCCTGTCTGCACCAACACGCTAGGCACTGCTCCCCCAGCAGTCGCTCTGCTGAGCCCATTCCAGCTTCCAGGCTGCTCCGGAAAGAGCCGGTGCCGTAATGAAGACAGAGGGCTACAAGGAGCCCTGAGGTTTAAACTCACCAGCGGAGTTGGTGTTATTCCCTTCATTTACAAAGCAACTAGTTAGGCACAGACAAGCAAATACTGTAGAAAGGAGGCAAAAGAGCTGGCTGCATTTCAAATGCTTGCAACCATCACGATCAGCTATTCCCAGCAATCACGCCTCCCCCAGGGGCAGCTGCCTGGATTGGAGGAGCCCACTTCTGTCAGTGGTAGCCGCAGCCTGCCCAATGATTTTCACTCTGAAAGCCGGGCCTGAACTGGCCAGTTACACAACCCAAGCACCAAGCACTTTGCTACAGCTCTTCACATTTTCAGGTCTTGCTAAGAATGGCTTGCCCGGGCAGCAGTCTGTTCTCATCCCAGGCCGCAGCCCTGGATCCAATCAAACCACAACACAGATAACAGTGAGTTTCTTACCAGACCACCTCCAACAATGGCTACTTTCCCCTTCTGAGTGTCAGTGGAGTTCATGACTGCAACAATCTCACTGCAGCATGGTTTTTGTGGTCTTCTGTCCCCTGAGAGACTTGTGACGCTGCTCACGCTGTTACACAGCCGGGCTGCATTTGCCAGAGAGCAAACAGAGGGGAGGGGAAGCAGGCAGTCTAGTCATGCTCTGATTCACCTTCCTTGGTTAATATTCAGGTTTTTCTCCAACCTCAAACTCATCATTGGATCAGCTCTGACCATGTGACAAGGCCAGATCCAGGCAGAGGGCCCAGCTCGGCTCAGGTACCTGGGGGGGAGGAGGTGCTATTTACAGTGGGGGGTTGCAAACACAAAGGTATCTTTCAAATTTCCAAGAGTCCATTGCGTGACTGCTGTGCCGCATCTGTCACCCCCCCACACCCTCCCCCCGGGTGAGGTGTCCTGTCCTGTCTAGCGGCACCCAGACCAGAGAGAGACGGAGACAGAGTTAAATGAGTCTGGCTCTACAGATTTAGCTAGCAGCCAGTGGGCTTTTAGCCCCTGCCCCAGCCTGGAGCCTCCTCCCACACTCCGAACCCCTCACCTCCCCCAGTCTGGAGCCCCCTCCTGCACCCCAACCCCTCATCCTCGGCCCCACCCCAGAGCCCGCACCCCCAGCCAAGGCCCTCACCCCCTCCCGCACTTCAACCCCCTGCTACAGCCTGGAGCCCTCTCCCACACTCTGTACACCTTGCCCCGCCCCAGCCTGGAGCACCCTCCTGCACCCCAAACCCCTCATCCCTGACCCCACTCCAGAGCCCACACCCCATACCCCTGCCCCATCCCGCAACCCCCTCCCACACTCCAAATCTCTTGGCCCTGCCCCCCCAGCCCAAAGCCCCCTCCTGCACCCCAAACCCCTCATCCCCGGCCCCGCCCCAGAGCCCACACCCCATTCCTCCTCCCACACCCCAACCCTCTGCCCCAGCCCAGAGCCCCCTCCCACACTCCGAACCCCTGGGCCCCAGCCCGGAGCCTCCTCCTGTGTGTACAATATTTAGCATGCTTTGGGATACAACGAATTGCTGTACTGACAAAACAGGCAAAATTTTAAAAATGTGCTAATTTGTGGAACTTGCCACAATATGCTTTGGCTAATGACATATAGGAATTATATATGGAGCTTAAGTTGTATTTACCCACATCAGGTATGTCTGTTTTCTAGTCTGTCTGTACAGAAGTTTAAGGCCATTGTGACGGGGTGCGACTCACCACTGCGGCGCCCCCTGCTGGGTGTCCGGGGGATCAGCTCTGCTAGCCAGTGCACCCTCTGCTGGTGGCATCTCGCCACTGTCACTTCTGCTCCAGGGACCCACATCACTCCAGCACAGGGGCCTCCTCTTCATGACACAGCCCCTCCCGCACGCCACACTCTGTGCTCCCCCCTTCCGGGGGAATGGCAGTCCTCTGTCCAGCCACTTCCTCAGTGGCCAGTGCGTGGGGGACGGGGACCCAGGCCCGCCTACTACTCCAGGTCCCAGCCCAGGGACCCTGTAGGTGGCAGCCATGTGCTGCCTCCCTGTAGCGGGGCAGTTACCCCACTCCTGAAAAGGTAGGCTGATTGGGAAGGCAGCCACAGCTGGGGCCACGCCCAATTAGGAGACAGCTGGCCCTATAAAAGGGCTGTGAGCCAGGAGCTGGGTCAGTCTCTCTCTTGCTTTGGAGAGAGATGGACCTAGCTGCCTGAAGGAGCAAAGGGTACCGTGGCCAGAGCAGTGCTGGGGAGCTCAGGCCTGGCGACCTCCCAAGCTGCGGCCTGACAGGAAGGCCTAGAGAGGTACTGGGCTGCAGGGAAAGGCAGCAGGTCCAAACCCCCCCCTTGCCAATGGTGAGTGCCACTACACTGCAGTCTGCCCCAGTGAACAGGGGCATGATGATGACTGGCAGTAACCAGTGAGGTGGGCTTATAGGGCTGGGGGTTCCCCTGGGACAGGAGACCCAGAGAGTGGGGATACTGCTGGGGCAGAACACCAGGGTAAGGGGCACTGGGAGGGACACGGGGTGCCTGAGGCAGGTGAGCCACATGGCCAGCAGAGGGGGCTCTGAGCTGGAATTGAGTTAATTCCCAGGGTAACCAGCAGGAGGCGCTGCATGGTGAGTCTCACTTCGCTACAGTCCCCTCCAACCTCTCAGTCTACTTCCCTGGGCCTCTTCCTGCAGCCCCAGCACCTTCTCTGCCCTTGTCTCAGGGCCTCAGCAGTCAGCCAGCAGCTCGCTCCCCGGATCCTGCCCAGGGTGCTGGCTTTCTTCCTCCTGCCAGGCAGCCAGTCCTCCCTCCCTTGAGCTCCAGGGAGCAACAGAAGCTGCTCTGCCCTGCAGCCCTCCTTATATGGGTCAACCCCACCCTGACTGGCTGCTCCCTGCAGCCCCTCTCTGATTGGATGCCTCTTGTGCAGCCTCCCTAGGGCTCTATTAACCCCTTATGGGCCAGTGTGGGGCAGACGCCCCATCACAACCATGTCAGAATCAAGGCCCCTGTTACCATGATAGTACCTAGATTAGGATCAAATGACTGTTGAATTGCAGTCTAGTGCAGTGTTTCCCATCCAGTGTGCCACGGCACGCTGGTGTGCCGCCAGACATGTAGGGGGGGTGCCGCAAAATTCTGGAAAAATCACTTGGGAGGTAAAAAGATTCTGATTTATTTTAAGTAGTGTCACAACCAAATCACATTTTGTGCCATTGCTCTGTGGATGTACCTGTGTGAGGCAGACGTTGCATCACGCTATGCTCTAAATGACCTTGCTCTTCGTCTGGTATCCCGTAGTAGCCCTGGTTTCTTATTGGCCCTTAAGGTGCTGTGGTGAATTTTCAATTGAAGACTCAAAAATGGACAAATATTTGAAGAAAAGAAATTCTGGCGCCTCCACATTTACTTTTGCCGATGAAGCTGAACCTAGAAAGCCGATCAGCTCTTCAGTGGCTGGTGGGAGGTGCTTAGGGGAGAGGACTGAGGGTATGTCTACACTACGAAATTAGGTCGAATTTATAGAAGTCGGTTTTTTAGAAATCGGTTTTATATAGTCGAGTGTGTGTGTCCCCACAGAAAATGCTCTAAGTGCATTAACTCGGCGGAGCGCTTCCACAGTACCAAGGCTAGAGTCGACTTCCGGAGCGTTGCACTGTGGGTAGTTACCCCACAGTTCCCGCAGTCTCCACTGCCCACTGGAATTCTGGGTTGAGATCCCAATGCCTGATGGGGTTAAAACATTGTCGCGGATGGTTCTGGGTACATATTGTCAGGCCCCCGTTCCCTCCCTCCCTCCCTCCATGAAAGCAGCAGCAGACAATCGTTTTGCGCCTTTTTTCTTGAGTTACCTGTGCAGACGCCATACCATGGCAAGCATGGAGCCCGCTCAGGTAACCGTCACCCTATGTCTTCTGGGTGCTGGCAGACGTGGTACTGCATTGCTACACAGCAGCAGCAACCCCTTGCTTTGTGGCAGCAGACAGTACAATAGGACTGGTAGCCATCATCGTCGTGTCCGAGGTGCTCCTGGCCACACATGGGTGCAGGGACTACATTAGAAGTGACTTGACCAGGTCATTCTCTTTAGTCCTGCAGTCCGTCCTATTGAACCATCTTATGGTGAGCAGGCAGGCGATATGGATTGCTAGCAGTCCTATTGTACCATCTTCTGCCGAGCAGCCATGAGATGAGGATGGCTAGCAGTCCTATTGTACAATCTTCTGCCGAGCAGCCATGAGATGTGGATGGCATGCAGTCCTTCTGCACCGTCTGCTGCCAGCCAAAGATGTAAAAGATAGATGGAGTGTATCAAAACAAGAAATAGACCAGATTTGTTTTGTACTCATTTGCTTCCTCCCCCTCCCCCCCGTCTAGGGGACTCATTTCTCGAGGTCATGCTGCGGTCACTCACAGAGAAGGTGCAGCGAGGTAAATCTAGCCATGTATCAATCAGAGGCCAGACCAACCTGCTTGTTCCAATAAGAACAATTACTTAGGTGCACCATTTCTTATTGGAACCCTCCGTGAAGTCCTGCCTGAAATACTCCTTGATGTAAAGCCACCCCCTTTGTTGATTTTAATTCCCTGTAAGCCAACCCTGTAAGCCATGTCGTCAGTCGCCCCTCCCTCCGTCAGAGCAACGGCAGACAATCATTCTGCGCCTTTTTTCTGTGCGGACGCCATACCAAGGCAAGCATGGAGGCCGCTCAGCTCACTTTGGCAATTAGGAGCACATCAAACACCACACGCATTATCCAGCAGTATATGCAGCACCAGAACCTGGCAGAGCGATACCGGGTGAGGAGGTGACGTCAGTGCGGTCACGTGAGTGATCAGGACATGGACACAGATTTCTCTGAAAGCATGGGCCCTGCCAGTGCATGCATCATGGTGCTAATGGGGCAGGTTTATGCTGTGGAACGCCGATTCTTGGCTCAGGAAACAAGCACAGACTGGTGGGACTGCATAGTGTTGCAGGTCTGGGACGATTCCCAGTGGCTGTGAAACTTTCGCATGCGTAAGGGCACTTTCATGGAACTTTGTGACTTGCTTTCCCCTGCCCTGAAGCGCATGAATACCAAGATGAGAGTAGCCCTCACAGTTGAGAAGTGAGTGGCGATAGCCCTGTGGAAGCTTGCAACGCCAGACAGCTACCGGTCAGTTGGGAATCAATTTAGAGTGGGCAAATCTACTGTGGGGGCTGCTGTGATGCAAGTAGCCCACGCAATCAAAGATCTGCTGATATCAAGGGTAGTGACCCTGGGAAATATGCAGGTCATAGCAGATGGCTTTGCTGCAATGGCATTCCCTAACTGTGGTGGGGCCATAGACGGAACCCAGATCCCTATCTTGGCACCGGAGCATCAAGCCGACGAGTACATAAACTGCAATAGTGCTGCAAGCTCTGGTGGATCACAAGGGACGTTTCACCAACATCAACGTGGGATGGCCGGGAAAGGTACATGACGCTCGCATCTTCAGGAACTCTGGTCTGTTTCAAAAGCTGCAGGAAGGGACTTTAATTCCCAGACCAGAAAATAACTGTTGGGGATGTTGAAATGCCTATAGTTATCCTTAATGCCATAGCTCATGAAGCCGTACACAGGCAGCCTGGACAGTAGTCAGGAGTTGTTCAACTACAGGCTGAGCAAGTGCAGAATGGTGGTAGAATGTGCATTTG